GAAAACCCAGGTCCCCAAGAGGTGAGCCAGGCCTCCTAGTTGATAAGGGCTCAGCTTTGCAGAACACAGGGTAGGGAAGCTGGGGCATGCGAACGGAGAGTAGGGAAGGGAAAGGAAGAAGTCCACCCCAGGCTCATGGGTGGAGAGAGAAGAGATGCAGGCATGCTCAGCCTCAGCCACAAAGCCCCAGCTACTTTCAGGATGTGCAGGGCTCCTGTGGCTTTGGGGCCCCACCTCCTCAGGGCTGAGGCCCCAAACCTCAGGAAGAGTGGAGTCAGGAGTAATGATCTCACCAAGGCTCCGGATGTGCCGTCAGCATCCTGTGTACAGCTCCTCCAAAGCAAGGGCGCATCACCTTCTCCGGCTAACTCTTCCTCTTCCTGACTTCCCTATGTCAGCTAAAGGGACCAACCTCGTCACCCATCACCTCATCACTGAAATGTCAAAACCCAGCCAAAAAGTGTCTGTTCTGCAAGATGATAGCTACTTTCGCAATCTCTCTAGAATCAGTCTCTTCTTTTCCATTTCTACTGCCAAATTCCAGCTTTCAGTACGTCTCACCTGGACCCTATCTACCTAGTTTTCCGTTTCCTTCCTCCCTTCTTTTCTTGTCCCCTTACAACCAGCTATATATATCCTGCCGCCAGTCTGCCCCTTGCCTGCTCAGGAACTTGTCAGAACGAAGTGCTCCATCTGCCACCTGCCAATTCAAGTCGTCAAGTGGCTTTCTGGACTGATCTCTTGCAGTGTCCATTTCCTCTTCTTCTGGGGATTGTAATTTTTCAATACAGTCTGGGGGGTTTGCCTACCATGCCACCAGCCCTCCCTGCTAGGCTGGGTCAACCAGACATCTCCTCCTTGGGATGTGCACCCCAAGCTGTGGTGACAAAATTACTGAGCATGGCTGCAACAGATTTATCCTGGCGACAGTGGTACCTTGAAGTCGGCTGGCCTCTGGTTCCTTCTGTACCCACTCTGAGACCCTGGAGGGGACATGGGCGTTGAGTCATCTCTCCGATTCTGGGAGTTCCCACAATCTTCTAAGGCAGTCCTTTCCTGCCAAACTCAGCCAAGCTCTTGCTTGTAACCAAAGAGGATTTTCTTAGTACTTTTTGACATACATTTCCTATGTTCCAGCCAAAAGGGAAAACTCCCTAAAAGTGCCATGATGGCCTCCCTCAGCACCCGTTGGCACCTCTCCAGTCCACAGGCACTGCTGAAGCTCTGCATGCCCCTCTTCTGAAACCTCTATGAGGATGGCTTCTGCTTCCTTTAAACCAACAAGCCCCTAGCTGCCCCTTCTACCCTCTTCCACTTTAGACACTGGGGTACCTGCCTTCGCCCCCTCCTAGAGGACAGTGACTTGGTCATTATCTCCTCCACAACACCCAGCAACCCAGCATAGTTTCAGGTTCAGTAAAATTCACCAGGCTCTGGGGGCAGACAACCCAAGGGACAATTACAGGTTTACTGGGCAAAACAGTTGGCGAGTGACAAAGAATGTGGAGTGTGCCATCAGAAAGACTGGAGTCTGAATTCCAGATACTCCACTTACTAGCTGCTGAGTTTGGGCAAGTCTCGTAAGTTTTGTAAGTCTCAGTACTTCATCGATGAGGTAGCGACAATAATGCCAATCTCGCAGTGTGAGGGCATCTAGCATGGTGCCTGGCTAGCAGTGAGCACACGGGTAACACCAGCCATGAGTCCAGCTATTAGTAGCTGGCTTAACAGATGCTCTATCAGAGGGCTGGAATCAGGAGTCCTAGGGCTTGCTGTGTAACCCCACCTGGATCTGGGTCTGTTGTATAAACCTACTGAAAAACAACAGGTAGAAAACGCTTCACAAAGTAAAAGCACAATGGAAGTGATTTCTCCCACTTTTCTAAATTTCAGAGATTCCCAGGCATCCTGGCCAGAGCACGGCCATGGCAGGACTTCACCTTGCAAATACTCCAGCCTGCTCAGTCTGAAAGACAGAGTCAGGGCAAATGATGGTGTGGTTCCGCATCTGCTTCCCCCTGTCCATACAGCCATCCCTTTCCAAAGCCTTAGTTCCTAAACGTCCTGCTTTCATGGGGCCTTCCTTCAAATAACCATGGGGTACTGTCTGCTATGTGGTTACAGGGGGACTGGGAGCTCGGGCACCGCAAGTCACCCCTACCATTAACCTCATCAACACTGAGCAGCATGAGAATGAAAGGCAAAGGCCGATCCAGTGCAGCTGCCAAAACAAGCCTGGGTTGTGGAGCAAGGTAGAAGTCCCTCTTAAGACTTTTTTTTTTTTTTTAAGATTTTATTTATTTGAGAGAGAGAGAATGAGAGACAGAGAGCATGAGAGGGAGGAGGGCCAGAGGGAGAAGCAGACTCCCCGCCGAGCAGGGAGCCTGATGCGGGACTTGATCCCGGGACTCCAGGATCATGACCTGAGCTGAAGGCAGTCGCTTAACCAACTGAGCCACCCAGGCGCCCCTTCTTAAGACTTTTATCTGCCTAGATTAATCTCCCAATCCACTGTTAGAACCCAAACCAGTGGTTTTCAAAAGGTTCTCTCTGAGGAGCTGAGCAGAAATGCAAATTCCAGGCCCCACCCAGACTGACTGAATCAGAAAAGTCTGGGAGTGGGGCCCAGCAATCTGTGCCTTAAACAGCTCTCGAGGGGATTCTGATGCCTGCTCAAGTATGAAGAACTTTGTCTTTAGCCTTTAATAGCATGACCCTCTGCCTTAACTCAAACATTTGCTGAACACTGTGCACCAAGGACCGAGCCAGGTGATGCTTTCCAGAAATGAGGACACATTTGAAGAACTTCTGCAGTCTAATGGGGGCCCAAATCAAGTACACAAATACACTAGGCAGAGTGTGGCATAAAAGAAGTTTTATAAAGGAATCACTTTCCACCCCTCTCCCCAGACTCTAACCCTCAGACCTTCTCTTGCCATGACTGGGGAAAAGAGAACATCAGTTCTGGAAACCCACCCCCAATGCTGCTATTTTGGACTCCTCAACTGCAGGTTGCTTTCTCAAGAGGAGTGATCCTCACCCAGAGGCATGTCTCAGGTCCAGAGGCCTGACATGTGGGGATATGCTCCCACAAGGCCACACCCAGTGGTTCTTAGGAAATCGGCCCTATCGGGAGTTTAGGCTCAGAAAGTTCCTAGAGGGCCATGAACATGCCACAGCACATCACAACAATGCATTCCTGGGCAGGGTCACTCCCACAGGCCCCTGGCAAGCTTGCACACGAGTGTGCAGATACAGATATAAACCCACAGACAGTTGGCCCCCTGGCCTCCCTTCCTCTAATCTCAAGTTACAAGGTTAAAGGCTTCCTATTCACAGCCAAGGGGGAGGGATCAAAGAGGGGGTGCTGAAGCACTGAGCCATCTGGTTCAGATCAAGATTGCTCATTCAGGACCCCAGCAAACTCCCAGAGCCTCTTGGGCCTTCCTGATGGCTCACAGACTTCCCTCCCTCCCCCAAATTCCCACAGGGAAACTGAGGACTGGGCTGGAAAGGGATGACCCAAAGGCAAATTTGCCAAAGGAAGACTAGAAGACAAAAACCTGAATTAGGCAAGTCTGTGCCACCTCTCTGAGCCCTGGTTCCCTCTTCCCTTCAGATCCTGAACAACACGACTAAACTCGAGATTACCGCCTACAGACACTGTGCCTTCCTCCACAAAGTGCTCAGGGCACCTAGCAGGCATCCTTCCTCGAACCAGCAACCCCTTCCAAAGTTAGCAGCAGAATCAAGATAAGTTTTAGGGGTGTGGTCTCCCAGACTCCTCTTATGCCACCATCTCTACCAAGGAAGGACGTTCCCTCCATTCTCAGAGGGACTTCAGACCTCACGAGGCATAATAAGAGAAAGGAATGACCAACCGGCGTCTAGACAATTGTCCCAAAGCAAGATGGGAGTGTGAGTTACAGGCTAGGAATGACTGTTTCCCAGAGGCCCCAGAGTGCCTTGAAGTCCCCTCGGAGGCTTTGGCTGGAAGAAGCTGCCACTCCTTTTCTGCCACTAGCACTTCTCTTCCTCCTTTCCCCCCAGTACCTTAGACTCTGTTCTTCAGTGCTTTACGCAGCTGTAAAGCAAGAGACAAGATGGGAGATGGATGCAGTTAGCAAGAAATAGAAATTGAAAGGCTAACTTGAGCAAAGAAGCAATGGGTGGGTGACTCTTTACAGGCAGAGAGGGCCAGAAGTGGGCTATGGGAAGGAGGAGGCAGTTAACAGAAGTGGGCTATGGGAAGGAGGAGGCAGTTAAAAGAAGTGATAGAAAGCTAAAGGGGAAACTAAAGTGAGCTCTGCCCAGAGCTGCAGCAGGGGGCTTGGGAAGTTTGGTCCAGTTACAGTGGAATGGCTGAAGGAAAAAAATGACTTCCATTCCAAGGCATGGGCTCAGACCAGCCCTCAAAGGACTGGGGCATGGCCTTGGCCAAGTTCCTGGTTTATGTCATGCCTCAGTTTCTCCAAAGTGGGAAGGAGGTCAAGCTGTTAGGTCTTATCAGAGAGAACTGGGCCATCGGGGGTGGCCACGGGGCAGTGCCAAGTAGGGGAAAGAGGAGAGAGGTGCTGATGGTGCAAAGACAGCCTGTGGGCAAGGGGAGCGGGGCAGGGGTCTCCAGATAGCTCAGAGGCCAAGAGCACGCAGGGGTTGGGGGTACGAACTAGCCAGTGGGCAGTAAGTCCAGACTGGGGCAGGGAGCGCTTCCGAAAGCTGAGGCTGGGGGTTGCCACCAAGGAGTGGAACAGTCGCGCCTCAAGGGCTGGGAGCGACTTGAGGTGCAGAAGCAGAAGGCGGGGATGGAGATTGAGGCCAAGACAGGCGGACCCCCGCCCCCATGAGGGAACCCAGAGCCCCGACCCTGGGGAAGTTGCCGGGGTGGACCGGGCCGGTCTGGGCCGCTGGGCCGAGCCAGCCGCCGGCGCGGAAGGGGTTCAGGCAGCAAGGGGCCCGGAGCGCCCCGCATCCCGCCCGCCCTCATCCCGCCCGCGCACCTCAGTCAGCGCCGGGCGCCGCGCGGGCCATGCTCGCCGCTCCTGCCGCCGCCTCCGCCCGTGCAGAAAGCTGCCGCCGCTGGCGGCGTCCGGACCCGTTAGCTCCGCGGCTCCCTCGTCCGCCCGCAGCAGGCCAGTCCCGCCCTTGCCGGCTCTGCCCTCCGGGAGCGAGCTACCGCCGCCGCCGCCTCAGCCCGGCCCCTCCCCCCACCCCAGCCCGGCTAGAAGGAAAGGGTGGGGGAAGGGGGCGGCTGCCCCCTCCCCATTCACATCCTCTCCGTCTCTCCCCACCCTCCTCCACCCGCAACCGCGCGGGCATGCTGGGATATGGAGTGCAGCCGGCGCTGGGCCGCTAGAGGTGCCCCACACCCAGGACTACAACTCCCGAAAGACAGCGCGCGCGCCCTAGGGATTATGGGCTTTGTAGTTCGTCCGGGGCCAGGGGGTCTACCGCGCAGGGGGTGGGGTCGGGGAGGGGGGGCGGATGGGAAATCTCCATTTCCAGAAGGCTGGGGTCCCGGCGTTTGAAACAGAGGATGTGGGGGTCTGCGGTGCCCCGGGCTCGGATTGAATACCTGGATCCCCAAGGAGGTGCAAACTGTAGCCCAGGATGCCTCTCAGACGCGGCTGTGGCCAGCTGCGGCCGATCCCGGCTGAAGGGGAAGCCTCCGGGCCCCTAAACAGCGCCTCGAGTACGGTTCCCACTCGCGCTCCCAAAGAGCCATGACCTGAGACCAGCTTGGCCTTGTGCCCGGGCTCTGCAAGCGGGAGGAGCTGTGGTGGGGCCTTTGCGCTCAGGCGAGAGAAGGGGCTCCAGGAGCTGCGTGGGCGTGGGGTTTTCCCCACCCGGGAAAAGGAAAGCGAGTGACTGTGGGTTTCCCGCAGCACCTCGTTCCAGTCGCACTCTCTTTTGTCAGATGCTCTTAGCTCCCTCCCTACAGTTTAGGGTAAGGCGCACACGTTTAAAATAATTTTTTTCCATGTCTTCTCTTATCAGGGACCTTCCCCAACTTCCAAACCTAACTCAAACCCTTCGAGAAGCTCCAGGTCGACCGCACTTTCGCCCTCCAAGCTTCATCTCCCCTGGCAGCGCGGAAGCCTGTAGGTCAGTTGTTCTCAAACTTTGGCGTGTATCAGATTCTGGAGAGCTTGCTCAAATAAAGCTGGCTCCCCACTCGCAGTTTCTGTTTCACTAACTCTAGAGTGTGCCTGGGAATTTGCATTTCTAACAGCATCCCAGGTGAGGCTGCTGGGTGCTGGTCTGGGGAACCACTTTGAGACCTGCTACTGTTGCTGTTTGTTTGCTAGAGTTCTGGCTTTGTCCTTCAAGGATAGGCCTGCTGTGGAGTATTAGCTTCTGAAAAGCCTGGCCTTGTAAGGCAGGGTCCTAGCGTAGTTTAGCACAGGAGTGCTCTTTTTAATTGTAATGAATAAACAAATCAGTTCATCCTGTAAAGAAAACTACGGTGTGGGCCATCTGACTGAAAGGTGTTCCAGATCTTAGCCCTTGGTGTTTTCTCTAAAGCTGGGAAGGTTTTCTGGTGCTAACTGCCCGCCCCCCAGGCCTCCCCCCGCCATGGATGTAAGCCAAGGGGTGTATTCTCAAACCGGGAGTCCAGTGGGCTCAGTAGAACCGACTGCCTCTGGGTGGGCTATGTCCTAAAACAGGCTGGGGAGGCACCTGGGTGGCTCAGTTGGTTAAGCACCTGACTTCGGCTTAGGTTATGATCTCAGGGTCCTGGGATTGAGCCCGACGTTGGACTCCCTCCTCGATGGGGAGTCAGCTTGTTCTTCTCCCCCCTGGTCATTTTCTGTCTCTCAAATAAATAAACTCTTTTAAAAAAGAAATTAAATAAAAATAAAACAGGCTGGGGTAGTGAGAGGTGGGAAGGTGGCTTCCTGCCCTCTCAGGTGGACTCTCTTTACCACCTGCTGTCCTGCTGTTCTAGGAGCTACAAGCCCCTGAAGACAAGACTTGGTGACCGTCACCCTCAGGCACAATCCTAGACTCTTCCAGCTGTAAGGTGACAAAGATTCACTGCTTGACCAAACTTAAGCCAGGCTCCTCTAAGCTCTCTTCTACAATAGGCCTCAACCTTGGCCTATAAAAACTACACTCCTCAACACAAATGATTTCATTCATCCTCCTTCCTGCACAGTAAAGACTTAAACACAATAACATAGTTTCTAACAGCTCAAAGGCCACATCCCTAGGATGACCCTAGCTCTTTTGAAGTGTCGGCTCGATAAAGTTCAAGGCTGCCAAAAGGATTTATTGTTTGTTTTAGCCAACACCTGAAGATAGGTGATTACTCCAACTTACCCACTTACTACAAAGGGCTTGCAACTGCGACTCCTTCCTCTGTCCCTTTGAGATGTATATGTATCTCCTGCAGCTCAGGTGTGCCTTTCCCAAGGACCTGAAAGCCATTCCTTTGAAATGTAATCATCAGAAAGGATAAGGCCTCTGTCTCCCAGTTTCTCTGGGAGGATAGAATCCGAACTTCGATAATTGCCAGCTAACAGACACAGCTGGCCTAAGCATTTACACCGACCAATCCTTTGTCATTTTTCACTTCCCTGACTACCGCGTCCCTCTCACCTGCCTTCATACTCCCTCATTCTCTCTTTAAAATGCCCAGTCACCTCTACAAATTGAAATTGAATTCAGTTCACATTGGACCCTCTTCCTTATTGCAGTAGTATATTCCTGGTTAAAATCTGGCATTACCACTTTAGTGTCTAGCTTTGTTTATCTTTGACAAAGGTGGTGGGTACACTGAGTCCTCAGGGCCCATATTCTAGTCTTCCACCCATCCACTGAGGACTAAAAGGGTGTTATTCCTAGGTCCTTGGGCAAGTAGCCAAGTGGCCACCAGAGGCATTGGACCTTGACTAAGGTTACCTCTGGAATGCTTTTCTGTTTCTTTTGTCCCCATCACAGGCCAGTGGAGGCTAAGTAATCCACATGCAACCCCATGCTCTGCCCATAAAACCAGCTGCCAGGCCCTTCCTACAAGGGCTTAGCCTCTGCACCTGAGTCATGTGCAATGACAACATTCCCTCACATGCAGAAGGTACATGGAATTCTTTGAGTTTACATCGATCTCCCAAATCTCTGTTGGCAGATGATGCAGGGAGAACTGAGATGTCCTTTCATGGGCAGGACAGAGACCCTCTCTCTACCTCAGCTCCAACAGAAACCCTCATCATCACCCTTACCACCTTCCAATTAGATGTCAGATTGGTTCACCCATTTCCCCTTGCCGGTTCTGCCCTCCCATCCCCTCTATCAATCCAAATTCTGCCTGACTGTCCGAAGTCTACCTTCAGTTTTCCTTCCTCCAGAAGGTTCTCCCCAACTGCCTCAGTGTAGCATTTGGATTTTTTTTTTTTAAGATTTTTTATTTATTTATTTGAGAGAGAGAGAATGAGAGAGAGCACATGAGAGTGGGGAGGGTCAGAGGGAGCAGACTCCCTGCCGAGCAGGGAGCCCGATGCGGGACTCGATCCCGGGACTCCAGGATCATGACCTGAGCCGAAGGCAGTCGCTTAACCAACTGAGCCACCCAGGCGCCCCTAGCATTTGGATTTGAATCATTCATTGAAAAGCCTAGCTTTGCTGGTGAACTGTCCAGTGCAAGAGAGGAAGTGGAACAGGAATTTGGGAGTTGGAAGATGGCAGATGAGAGCACAGGGCTTTGGAGGCAGACAGCTACTAAGCAGCAAGGGGCAAAGAGGAGAGGGATGGGCTCCCTCGCACCTTGGGTTTCTGTCTGGGGGACAGAAGCTTAAATGGCAGCTCCCACCGCTAGTCCTGTGTGTGATCCAGAGCAAGTTACACAGATCTTTCATCTGTAAAATGGGAATAATAATAATAAAAGAGCTCATTTTTTAGAGTTGTTGTAAAGATTGAAAAAATACTATGAGATAGGAAGACTATCAAAAATAAATCAAGTTAATCTATAAATTTAATGTGATTCCAGTACAAATACCAGCATGGTTTTTTGTTGTTGTTCATTTTTTTGTTCATTTTTTGGAGATGGGAGAGAGAAGTAGATAAATTGATTTTTAAAAATTATTTGGAAAAATAACAAGCAAGACAAGTCAGGAAATTTTTTAAAAAAACTAACAGTAGTGAATGGTGTTGGCCCTCTCAGATATTAAACATATTATAAAGTCTGCTCTTAGAAGGGTATGATAGATCAATGACACAGACCTGCCAGTCTAGAAGTAAACTCAAATATTCATAGAAATAAGCTTAGATACTAAAGGAAAATTGGCAAAGATACATTCTCAAATAAGTGGGAGAAAAGGCGAATTACTTTATAATGATGCAGGGACAATTGGAGAACCAATTGCTAAAAAATTTAGCCAACACTGAATAAATTAATGGATCGAGCTAAAAATCACCAATGGCTCTCAGTGTCATGAAAAACAAAGACAACCATCTTCATTTGAGGACAATGGAAGTATGATACTCTGAAAGTAGTGTTGAAGAGAGAAATCACCCCAAAGCTGACAACACCAATGTACAGAATATGCTGGTATCAGAGGACCAGGTTATTTGAAACCACGGAAGATACAATCAACAAATGGCCCAGTTTCTTCAATGAATACCTTGAAAATTAAAAAAAAAAAAAAAAAGAAGAGAATCTGTAAATTTTAAAAGCCCTGTCAGCCCATTACAATGTATGGACTTTATTCATAAAACTGAAAAAAAAAAAAAAAGTTGTTTTAGAATAGGGGAAATTTGGGGGTGCCTGGGTGGCTCAGTTGCTTAAGCAATTGCCTTCGGCTCAGGTCATGATTCCAGGGTCCTGGGATCGAGCCCCGCATCGGGCTCCCTGCTCGGCAGGAAGCCTGCTTCTCCTTCTTCCATACCCCCTGCTTGTGTTCCCTCTCTCTCTGTCTCTCTCTCTCTCTGTCAATTAAATAAATAAATAAAATCTTTAAAAAAAAAAAAAGAATAGGGGAAATTTGAACACTGACCATTGGGTATTAAGTAATTGTTATTAATTTTAAGTGTTCTGATGGTGTCATGGTTAGTTTTTTGTTTAAGAGACCTCATTTAATAATATATCCTGAAATCGTATTTATGGAATGATAAGATGTCTGGGGTTTGTTTCAAAATAATCCAGGGTTGGGTGGAGGTATAGATACAATAAGGTTGACTGGATTGATCATTGTTGGAGTGGGGGGGATGATGGTTACTTGGGGTTCATTATAACATTGTTTTCCACTTTTGCAGTGTTTGGAGTTTTCCATAATAAAATGGTTTAAACATGTTTCAGTCAGATCTCTACCTCATAGCTAGCTAAAAACCACCACCACCACCATCAAAAACCAAGTTAATAAAAAAATGGGAGACATTTTTGCAATTTATATTAAAAGGTGAAGAGCTAATATAAAGTGCTTTTGTAAATCAGTAAGAAGACCAAGAAACCAATAAGAAATGTGAAAATTATACAAACAGTTCACAAAAAAAGGAAACACAATGGCTCTGATATGAAAAGATGCAGAGCTTCCGTTTTTAAAAAATTGTAAAATACACATAACATGAACTTTACCACTTTAACCATTTTTAAATGTACAGTTCAGTGGCTTTAAATAACATTTACAGTGTTGTGCAACCATCACCACCATCCATCCACAGAGCTCTTTTCATCTTGCAAAACTGAGAAGATCTGTACCCATTAAACAATGACTCCTCACATTTTCCCCTCCCCCCCAGTTCCTGACAACCACCATTCTACTTTCTATCTCTATAAATTCGACTATGAAGTCATATCAACATGAGGACACTATTTGTCCTTTTGTGTCTGGCTTGTTTCACTTAGCATACTGTCCTCAATGTTCATTCACATTGTAGCATATGTCAGGACTTCCTTCCTTTTTCAGGCAGAATAATATTCTATTGTATGTATATTCCACATTTTATCCATTTATTTGTCAATTGACACTTGGGTTGCTTCCATCTTTTGGCTATTGCAAACAAAGCCCCTCTGAGCATCACTCTTAATAAAATAAATGCAAATTAAAACCACACTGAAATATCATTTTTCACCTATTAGATTGGCAAAAACCAAAAAGCTTGATAACTATATTGGCAAGAGTGTGGGGAACAGGATTCATATACGCTGTCAGTGTGGCTGGAAATTGGTACAGCCTGAAAGAAGAGTAACTTGGTAATACCTTCAAATTACACATGCACACACCATTTGACCTAGCAATTTGTAAGAAAGTATCCTATTTACACATTTTCTTAGTTACATACAGATATGGCTATTTGTTACAACATTGTAAGAGCAAAGATTAAAAGTGATCTGTATGGGGGCGCCTGGGTGGCTCAGTCGTTAAGCGTCTGCCTTCCGCTCAGGTCATGATCCCAGGGTCCTGGGATCGAGCCCCGCATCGGGCTCCCTGCTCTGCAGGAAGCCTGCTTCTCCCTCTCCCACTCCCCCTGCTTGTGTTCCCTCTCTGGCTGTCTTTCTCTCTGTCAAATAAATAAAATCTTAAAAAAAAAAAAAGTGATCTGTATGTTGTGGCACCTGGGTGGCTCAGTCCCTTAAGCAACCGACTCTTGGTTTCAGCTCAGGTCATGATCTCGGGGCTGTGAGATGGAGCCCCAAGTCTGGCTCCATCCTCAGTGGGAAGTTTGAGAGTCTCTCTCCCTCTCCCTCTGCCCGCCCCCCACACTTTCTCACAAACAAACAAATAAATGTTGATGTAAATAAATGTTGATGATCTAAATTAAATATTAAATGAATAGATTGAAGACATTTCAACTGATGGTGTCTTTTATTATCATTACCTCAGTGGATAAGAAACTATTAGAGAGCAGGGGACTGGCTTTTGTAGGTCCAAAAAGACCTTCAAGAAATATTGATTAAATTAATGAAATTATTTCTTAGTCTCTGGCAGAACTGAAGTGGCAGGCAGCTCAAGGAGGTTATGTGGCTCATCCAAGGTCATTCATATATAATATGTACTACCTATTGTTTATGTGTAAAACACAGTGGAGGGCACTCTGAAATTGAAAAATTGGACCCTACCTTCTAAGAGATTGAGATCTAGCAAAGCACTCTGGCACACATCATGAAAAATATCAAGGTTTTTTTTTTTTTAAGACTTTATTTTAATCTCCACAACCGACGTGGGGCTCAAACTCACAACCCCAAGACCGAGAGTCACACAATCTACTAAGTGAACCAGCCAGGCACTACCAAAATATCAAGGTTGTTGTTTTTTGGGTTTTTTTATGGTCCTTTCAGTTATATCAATGGAGACCATTGTTCTAGTGGGTAAATTGAGGCACAGATCAGAGAAGCAGTTTCTCAAAAGCCATACAAAACAGCAGAAGAAAGATGCTGACTAAAATAGAAGTCATCCTTCCATTTGTGCCCCATCCTTAGTGCCCTGGGGGACTCATTTCAAGGGAACCATTTCCTACCAATGTTGATGCACTGGATCAGCCTTCTCAAAGGTGTGCAGGTCCTGTGAGATGCTCCTCTACAAAAAGATTCCCTAACCTGTGTGTGAAATGCTTTATACGTTAGTGTAAAGTTCTCCATGCATATAGGTATTTTTTCCCTACCTTTGTCCACCAAGAAGGCCTGAGAATGGTGACACCCCATTAGCAACTGAGCTTGTTGTTATTTTTTAAATTGAGGTGCAAATCACAGAACATAAAATTAACCATTCTGGTATTTTGATTTTAATATTTTTTGGAGGGGGCACCCAGAAATTAACCACTTTATAGCATACAATTCAGTGTATTTAGTACATTCACAATACTTTGTAACCAATACTTCTATCTGGTTCCAAAACATTTTCTTTATCCCAAAAGAAAATCCTGTATCCATCAAGCAACGATGCCTCACGCTCCCTCCCCCTAGCCCCTGGAAACCACTGTGTTCTGTCTCTATGGATTCACTATTCTAAATATTTCATATAAATGGAATCATAGAAAATATGGTCATTCATGTCTGACTTCTTTCACTTAGCATAATGTTTTCAAGGCTCACCCATGTTATTGCATGTGTCCGTATTTCATTCTTTTATGACTGAATACCACTCCATTGCATAGAAATACTATACTTTGTTTATTCAGTATATTGATTTCTTAAATTTGTGAGAAGAAAATAAGCCTGTCTACCTTTGTTTAATGGTTCTATAGCCCGTCTGCAGCAACACTTGTTAACATCTTACAGAAGCGCTCTTTGGAAAATACTGCACAAGATATTTGTGAATGGCAATGGTCAGGCTTTGGGGAACAGGGTCCACTTAATGATGAAGTATGCTTAAAATCTCTCCAGAAAGGGTTCGTTGTTTATTCTATCAAGTCTGTGTTTTAATTTTTATTTATTTTTTCCTTTTATTATTATTATTTTTAAGTAGGTTCCACACCCTGCATGGAGCCTGATGCAGGGCTTGAACTCAAGACCATGAGATGGAGACCTGAGCTGAGATCAAGAGTTGGACGTTTTAAAAATTAAAACACTCGGGGTGCCTGGGTGGCTCAGTTGGTTAAGCGTTGGACTCTTGATTTTGGCTCAGGTCATGATCTCAGGGTTGTGAGACTGAGCCCCTCTGCTGGGCTCACGCTGAGTGGGGAGTCTGCTTGAGATTCTCTCTCTCCCTCTGCCCCTCCCCCTGCTTGTGTGCGTACTCTCTCAAATAAATAAATAAATCTTTAAAAAATAACTTTTATTTATATATTTGAGAAAGAGAGAGAGAGTGCACGATCAGGGAGGAGGGGCAGAGGGAGAGGGAGAAGCAGACTCCCCACTGAGCAGGAAGGCCAACGTGGGGCTCAATCCCAGGACCCAGAGATCATGACCTGAGCTGAAGGCAGACATTTAACCAACTGACCCACCCAGGCGCCCCCCACAAAATAATTTTTAACAACCATAACAGCTTTTTTGTTTTCTCCTTGGAAGACCCAGCAGAAGAGTGTAATATCTTTTCTCCATTTTCCTCAACCAGTTAGTTCCCATGTCTCCTCTACTGTTTCTGTAGTAAATGCTGTGGGTTATATGCTTTTTTTTTTTAAAGATTTTATTTATTTATTTCAGAAAGAGAGCACATGAGAGGGGGGAGGGGCAGAGGGAGAAGCAGACTCCCTGCCGAGCAGGGAGCCCGATGCGGGACTCGATACGGGACTCGATGCAGGACTCGATCCCGGGACTCCAGGATCATGACCTGAGCCGAAGGCAGTCGCTTAACCAACTGAGCCACCCAGGTGCCCCGGGTTATATGCTTTTACAGCAATGGTGCACCCATTCTCCACTTTTCTCAGTTGTTGTGTTGGCAGCTAATGACTCACAGTTTCATCCTTCTCCAGAGAATTGTCCTCAGTCCACATGAGCTGTTTCATCCAGACATACCTGGGAAATTATGCTCCTCCTTTCCCCACCTCCCAGTGGCCCACAGCCTGTGAATGAGTGATGTGGGGTACAAAGCCCAGCTCCCTTGCTTCTGAGAGAGCTAAACCTTGTGTTGCATTTTATGCCTCGGAGCTCACTGTAGGATCAGACCGAGTCTGGACATCTTTGCTTGGTTTCTTCCCCTGCCCTATCCTGCTTCCCTCACTGCCCTAATAAATCATTTGCACAAGAATCCCTGTCTCAAGGGCGCCTGGGTGACTCAGTCGTTAAGCGTCTGCCTTAGGCTCAGGTCATGATCCCGGGGTCCTGGGATCGAGGCCGCATTGGGCTCCCTGCTCCGCGGGAAGCCTGCTTCTCCCTCTCCCACTCCCCCGGCTTGTGTTCCCTCTCTCGCTATCTCTCTCTCTGTCAAATAAATAAATTTAAAAAATCTTAAAAAGGGGCACCTGGGAGGCTCAGTTAGTTAAGCGACTGCCTTCAGCTCAGGTCATGATCCTGGAGTCCCTGGATCGAGTCCCGCATCGGGCTCCCTGCTCGGCAGGAAGCCTGCTTCTGCCTCTGACCCTCCCCCCTCTCATGTGCTCTCTCTCTCATTCTCTCTGTCTCAAATAAAAAAAAAAAATCTTAAAAAAAAAAAAATATAAAAAAATCTTAAAAAAAAAAAAAGAATCCCTGTCTCAGGCTCTGCATCTAGGGACCCCAACCTAAGCTATCCCTGTGGGTAGTCCTGGCTCCCAGAGCTATTGCCTGCTACCAGCAGCAGGCATAAATTTCATCTTGGGCCTTCCAGATTGCACCTCCTCCAAGAAGCCGGACCTGGGCCCTCACACTCTGGCAGCATTCAAGGAAATTCGGTGCCTAATCTGGCCAGGCACTGTTCTAACCCTTTTGTGTGCATTAGCACATAATCCTCCCAACAAACTGATTAGGCAAATACTCTTGTATTCTTACAGATGAAGAAAATGAGGCTCAGAGAGATTGAGTGTCTTGCTCACACAGTAAGGAAGTAATGGAAATTAAGGAGCATTTGTCTGATTTCACACCCTTGTATTTAACCACCATACTCTATCCTAGATTGTAGCATCAGAACTTTTATTTTTATGGGTCTATCTACCCCAGACAGTGGGACTATATACAGAGCAGAGAGCTACATGTTGTTATGTGTATTGCTGACAGATTGTGCTGAGGGCTTCGCTTTATTAAAAATGTTCTTTTTAACAGGATCTCGGCAGGACTGAGCTGGGCCAGTGGTCTCCAGATTCCCAATAGGGAAGAGTGTCGGGAGAACTCTGCCAGCGCTCCTGGGCGTCCACTGGCTGGAGGGGGCATTTGCAGGTATCTTTGCTACTCAGACCAAGGAATTCTAGAGTGACTATGGAGCTCCCCACCTCAGTATGCCTATCCTAGGAAGTGGGGTGAACCCCTTTGCCTCTGAGCTCCACGGTTTTCCTTGAGCCTCTGCCAGAGCTGCATTTATAGGCATCCCTGCCTTCCACTCTACTGCAGAGCGGGGAGCTGCACTGCTAAGAACAGCAGCAGGGGGAGACAGCTCATCACTTCCCTGGGGGCTTCTTGGGTTCACAGAGGAAAGAGCAGGCACTGAAGTGGGAGGGTCAGACCTGGGCCAAGTGAAGAGGGGTAATGACTCCAGGGGGAGAAGACCAAGGGAAGGAGAGAGATTGGGGGGAGGAGGTGGGGTAGTTGGGGGCTGACTAGGGAATTGTTGGTTATTCATTCATTCGACAACTTGTTTTAAGCACCTACAATGTCCTAGGCACTGTTTTGGGGACTGAGGAATCATGGACAAACCAAAGACCCTGCTTTAATGAGGCAACAGGAGGAGGACAACAATAAAAATAATCCTATTAATGGTTAATACTTTTTGAGCATTTACCATGGAGTCAAGAAGTTATCTTATCCTCACAACAATCTCAAGCTATGATACCATTATTAACCTGTTTTACAGGCAGTGACAAGGAGATAGAGAGTAACCAAGTGACTGGCTAATGTTACACGGAGTTTGAGCAGGGTCCCTCATCTTCTTTGAGATTGATGCCAAGGCCTCTCAGGCTCCCTGCTGACCACAGTCGATTCAGAAAATACATATTTGTAAGAAAAATTCAAACAATAGCGATGAAACTCAAGTTCTCCTTGCCCATCCCCATCCCTAGCAGTCTCCATACTTTTACAATACTACGTGTCCATATACATTATTTTTGACATGAGTGGCTTCCTGTATATACGGTTCTACAACTTTTTTCCCCTTAACAAAATATCTTGAGCACTGTTCCCTATTGTACACACAGTTTTACTTCCTTGTTTCTAACTGCTGCATAGTATTCCATGGCATGGATGTACTCTAGAGAAAAGGTGTGTCCAATTTTTCGCTATTACAAACAATGCTGCCATTCACAACTTTTCCAAAAGCTCCGCAGATCCACTTCCTACTGCAAAGTTGGAAAGTTTCTTCCGGAAGGACCCATGTAATGAAACCCGCGAAAGCACTAGCCAACTGTCAATCCAACAGTAGCCGCTTAGGCTCGGGCAACAGCTGTTGTTATCTAACCCCCCCGACCCCCCAATGGATTTTATTTTCTTCCGAGAAAAGCAGCTGCCCCAGGTCCAGGCTAGGGAGCTAAACAAAACCCCAAACGAGAAACCTCGAGTCCCAGAAAACGAGCTTGCGTCTCTAAGACGCATTCGTTCCTCTGGGAGTTGTAGTTTTGCTGGGCAACGGAGCCCCCTTCTATTCTCACTTCCTTTCTCCATCTGAACTCACATGCCCTTTAGGAAAGCGCTGCCCTCACCAGATCTGCGTACCCGTGCAATAAAGAGCTCGGAGTTAGTTTTTTGGGGAGGACAAGCCAGGACGGACGGAGGGGTGAAACTACATTTCCCAGGGTGCGCCGCGAAGGGGCAAGCAGTCCCGCGTTAAAAAGCCGGCGGCGCCGAAAGCCCAGCTGAGGCAGGTACGTCGGTCCGTGCGGGTCCCTGCTTCGCGCACCTTAGTCCCTCCCACTGTTTTTCGGCCCACGTTCTCGGACCCGCAGGACCGAGCTGGGCCAGTGGCCTCCTCCCGGTTCCCGATAGAGAAGAGTGTTCGAGAACTCTGCCGGCGCCCCCTGGGCGTCCACTGGTTGTAGGGGGGCGTTTGCAGGTCCTGCTACCCTTTGGTCTGGGTCTTTTCAGTGGGAGCTCCGGGACCTGGCCAGTGCCGGGCACTTGGGGATGCCTGGGACCCGCGGGGCGGGGGGGGGGGGGGTTTGGGGGCGGATATGGGCCCCAGAGGCCCCTCAGCCCTGAGGCAGGTGGGGCTCTGGATGCCAGCACTGCTGACTTTGCTTTGAGGCCCTGTCTCCTGCCTTAGTTTACCCCATCTGGGCTCATCATTATGCACAAATCTCGATTACAGGGCGTTTGTATAATTTACAAAGTGATTTTACTGCCAGTCAACTTCTGTCTGCCTTTTTTTTATCCAGAAGGCAAATCAGATCCCTTCGTGAGCCTGGTTTTGTTTTGTTTTTTTTTTTTGTACCTTTAAAGTTCTAAAATGCAAAATCCCTGCCCCCATGGCTCTTCAAAAAGCATATATGAAGAGGTTTTATTATTTTATTCTGTCCCTGGCTCCCCTTCCCTATCCAATTTTGGGATGGGGAAAATTGGCCGAGGACATTAAACGTGGCCTCAGTAGATGAAGTGTTATTGAAAGTGGACAGAATATTGGAATAGAGCTCTGTATTCTTTTCTAAGTTTTCTGTAAATGTTAGGTATGACAGGGCATAGACTGCAGGAGAGATGTCTTGTTCCGACAGGGTGATGAAGAACATGAACTTTGGTGTTGGACACACCTGGCCTGCCTGTACCATCTGTGTACGACTTTGCGCAAACTCTTTCATCTCCTTCAGCTAATTTCCTTATCTATATCCTGTGTGTGATAAGATCCAATTCATAGGACTATTGAGTGAGTCATGTGAGCTGATTCTGCACTGCCATTGGTGTTGGGCCTGAAGAAAGCACTCCCTGAGCTTTAACCACCAGTATCATTCCACCTTTTGTGTTATCATAAAATACCCTTTTGGCTGATCTGGCAAGTCATACTCCTTCGCCTGGCTTGATTTCCCTAGACCTTCCCTGATTTTTTCATCTTTGGGGGCATCTTTGACCTGGAGAATATTTCAGAGCCTTTACTCCCACTGGCTTCAGGGTCAAGTTAAACTCTCCTGTTCCCTTTCCCTGTTGGAGAGAACTACCACTCATTGAGCCCCCGCTGTATGCCACATCGTTTCCATTTTATTTCATACTGGCAACAGTCCTGAGAGGTTGGTATCTTTGGCTTGCAGAGGTTAGGTAGCCTGTTCAAAATCACACATAAGGAGGCAGAGATGGGAACAGAGCCCTGAGGGCTGATTCTCAGCCTGGGACTGCTCTTCTGCCCTAAGTCTCTAGTAGGGTGCAGTCCAGATAGGCCTGCCCTCCTCCCTCTGGTCATGATCGGTCACCTGTCCATGTCTCCCAGTCACTATGCTGAGACCAAGACTGGGCTCAGATTTCTTGGGTCATTGGACCCTCCTTGGGACATTTCTTCCTTGCTCCCTTTCAGCACCTTTGCTTGGGATCAAATATCATTACCACCATCACCTGAATAAGAATTGGAGTGACCCAGCTCCCAGTCATGGCTGCCGCATCCATTAGCTTCTTTAAAGTGGAAATAGTAATACGTAACCCTGCAGGGATGTTGTGAGGACGAAAAATCATAATGTCTTAATGGTGGGCCAAAGTGGTGAGCTCAGTCCCAGCGGCTGTTATCATTAACAATATCCTCATTTCATTATCACCTTGTATTTGTTTAGGCTTTATCATAATGGCTAATATACACTGAGCACTTTCCATATATTTACTCCTTTTGTTCTTTCCTTGTTCCCACAAAGTAGGCTCAGTGTAGTGGTTAAGAGAATGGACTCTGGAGAAAAGTGTCTGGTTCAAATTTGGTGGTGCTTCTTGCTCACTGTGTGACCTTGGGCAAGTTACTTAATCTCTCTGTGCCTCAGTTTCTTAATCTTTGAGGATAAAGATAGTACTTCCCTGACATGAAGTTAAAGGTTCTTACAGTGATTTTTTTTTTTTTTTCCTTTGAAGGTGCCAAGAGAGGGGTGATATTATACTCCCCATTTTGGTTCAGGTCCTTGGAGAAGCAGAGACCAAGATGGGACTAAACTTGCAAGAGATTTATTGGGGAAGGGGGAAAAAGGGGAAGGATCTAGCAGAGACAGGGAGAGCTATCAGGCTGCTGCCTATGAAGGAGCACCAGAAGGAAAGGGAGGGAGGGAGGGAGGGAGGGAGGGAGGGAGGGAGGGTAGGAAGGATGTTTGACTGCCTTGCAGTTCTGAGACAAATTTCTCTTGGGTTGATGGGAATTCCAGGAGCCAAGGTTGCCTGTCAGAGGATCCCCATCTTGCAGGAATGGGTCTGTGTTCATGTCCCTGCTGCACATGGAGTCATTGATTGGTTGGGAACAGTTGGTGGGAAGCGTGGCCTCCATGTGAATAAGCTGGGGGCATTTGTCAGTTATAGTCTCTGCCACAGGAGGCCTGAGAGTGTTAGGGTGCTGGAGATCACAGTGAGTTTGTGGCCAAGCTGGAATCCCACGAGGCTTCTTTACTGGAAAGTCCAGATGGACATCCTGGGGAATACCTTTTTCCTCAGGTGGCTGGCCAAGATCTCTAGCTCAGATTTCCCCTCTGGATTTCCCTCCTGGGCTTAGCAGGGAACAGAGCAATTTCTGTTAGTGGTGGAGGCTCTCCCTGAAAGCTGGTGGGAGTGTGGGTGTTGCTAGGTGGTGGTGACTGTCAGCCCTAACCATAGGCTTGATGGCATCAGAGTCTGGTGTGAGAGATGCTGTTGCTGTTGGCTCTTAGTTGGAGTGTGGGCTAACTACTGGATACACACTCTGGACACCCCATCATCCCTCCCCATGCTGAGCTTTGGAAGTCAGAGGGAAGAAGAGGTGAGGGTGGGCTGCTTTGTAGGACAGCAGCCGGACCCCGGCCAGAGGTGGATGCCAGGGTACTTTTGAGGACTTGTCTACAGATGGTCTTGGGGGCTCTGGAGTCAGATTGATTTCCCATGTGGTAGGAGGTGAATGTTGAGGGGGATAGGAGAGGGCAAAGCCATAGCTTTGGCCCACTTTCCCCTCACTTGCTCAGAGTGCCCTAGAGGAAGATGACTGTCAGGTGGGTTGCAGCCCCCTTCTGGCTTGGAGCTTCTGGGAGGGGAGATCCCCTCTGAGGTCCCTGTAGTGGGCACTGTTGGCACCCTGCCTTATCCTTTTGAACAGGTGGTGCACCCCTCCCACAGCTGCTCCCTTCTCCAGGGAATTGCCCTTGGCTTCAGGATTAGAACCTCCCTCCCATCCCCCTAGCTCACAGCCAGTAACTGAATGAGGAGGGGCAGCCCTTTGCTTTAAGGTGGGACCCGCTGTCAACCCCACCTTGCTCCCCTCACTTCCTCTCCTGAGGAAATCACATGCATCCAGATTGAGAAAGTCAAAGATACACTTATATATAACCTAATGATCCCATACCTGGGTATACACTGGCGGAGATGAAGTCTTATGTTCACACTAAGCCTGCACGCAAATGTTTGTAGCAGCTCTAGTTATGATTCCCCAAACCTGGAAACTGCCCAGATGTCTTTCGATGGGTGGATGGAGAAACAGACCATGGATGCCAGTCCATGCAATGGGATACTGCTTGGCGAATAGAGAGAACTACTGATATGCACAACTTGGATGAGTCTCAAAGGCATTATGTTGAGTGAAAGAAGCCAGTCTCAAAAGATTGCAGCCCACCTATAGCTACGGAGAACAGTGTGGTTGTCAGGGGTGAGGGATGGATGGTGAGGGATGGTGTGCCCAAAGGGATAGCATGCTGGAGTTGTTTTGGGCACGGAAAGTGGTGGTAGACACAAGAATCTCTACATGTGGGTTTTGGGTTTTTTGTTTTTGGTTTTTTGGTTGTTTTTGTTTTTTTGTTTTTGTCTTTTGTGTTTTTTTAGAGAGGGAGGAGGAGGGGCAGAGGGAGAAGGAGAGAGAGAATCTTAAGCAGGGGCTCCATCTCACGACCCTGAGATCATGACCTGAGACGAAATCAAGAGTTGGACACTTAACTGACCAAGCCACCCAGGTGCCCCTATACATGTGTTAAAATTAATAGAACTGTGTACCAGAAGGAATCAATTTTAGGGTAAGATAATTTTTTTCAAAAGTTCACGCACACCTTTATCTCTGCCTCAGGGAGCCCCTCAACTTTGGCCAGAATGGAGCAGCCCAAGGGGGTCGACTGGACAGTCATCATCCTGACATGCCAGTACAAGGATAGTGTCCCCGTCTTCCAGAGAGGTAGGGGACCCTCCCTTCCCACTTTGCCTCTGATGTAGTTTCCCCATCATAACCTTACAGCCCCACGAGCCAGGAAGACCTGGGTTCAAGCCCAGATTCTGCTTCTTTCTGGCCTTGTGACCCCAAGACACCTCATGTCATTTAATTGAGACTCAGTTTTTTTCATCTGTTAAATGAGACTGGTTGTACTTACCTCATAGAGTTGGGTGAAGATCTAACGAGCGATTCCATGAAAAGCTACTAAGTGTTTGCTTTGGCAGCTCAAATGCTGAAACTGGAACCACACAGAGAAGGTTAGCATGGCTTCTCTGCGGGGATGGCATGCAAATTTGTGAAGCATTCCGTTTTTTGTTTTTTTGGGTTTTTTTTACAAATATTGAATCATGACATTGTACAGCTGAAACAAATAGAATGTTATAGGTAATTATACCTCAATGAAAAAGAAGCTCCTGAGTCAAAGAAGGGAAAATAGGGACTCTCAGTAGATTTGCTCTAGATGCTTTGGACCAGGGTGGGGAGGCTGGGCGCCGGTCCCAGCTTGTGTTCTGACCCCAGAGCTGGAGGTGCGCCAGAAGCGGGAGCAGATCCCGCCCGGGACGCTGTTACTGGCTGTGGAGGACCCTGAGACGCGTGTGGGCAGCGGGGGAGCCACCCTCAATGCCCTGCTGGTGGCTGCCGAACACCTGAGTGCCCGGGCAGGCTTCACGGTGAGTGCTCCCGGAGCGCCCTCCTCCAGCACACGTCCTGGTCAGAACAGCGATGGGGGCTTCCAGCAGATTGTCTCCAAGTCACCAGCTCTTTTGGGGTTCCATCGCCTGGCCAGTGCAGCATCTGGTATTAATTTCTGTACCTGTAGATTGGGCAGACTCATCAGGGCGGCGAGGTGGGGGTGGGGTAGGCGGGGCAGAAGTCAGGGCCAGACTCTCTAGTGGTTTTAGAACATTGGAGCCAGGATCTCCAAATTAGGCTTTCTGGCTTCTCTTGAAAACTTCCATCTTGCTCTCCTGGCCTCTCCTTCCCCCATGGCAACTGTTTGTTGGAACTGGGATAGAGCTGCCTGCTTGGTGCATCGCACAGGGGTCAGTGTTCCCACTGGGGCCAACCCCCCCCCCCTAGCCTCTTCACTCGGTCACCTTGACCTCATGGCTCCCTGGCATAGGGAGTGAGAGTGGTCGCAGGGACGGAGGTGGCACTGGAAGGGGAGGCCACCACTGTGTAGTTTCTGTGGGGCTGACTTACCGTGAAGTCACCCAGCTAGCCCCACATTCTTGCCTATAGCTTCCCCTAAAAAATAGGGGCGGAGGGGTGGTCAAGGTGGAGGGCCACTAGGCTCCCTTATCCAGGAGGGGCCAGGGCCGCCCCTTGCCTGCCTGCGGCCATTGGTCCTGACTGTGTCTTTTCTTCCTTTGGTACCTGAGTGGATTTGTGTTGGGGTCTCTCCCTGGACAAGAGGAGAACATCCTTGGGTGCCATCTGCCCAGGCTTCTGTCCACAGGGCTCTTCCACATTTGACAGGTGGTGACATCTGATGTCCTGCACTCGGCCCAGATCCTCATCCTGCACATGGTTAGTAGAGGGCCATGCTGAAGGCTGGAACCATCAATCCTTGGGGTTAGATAGGTGTTCTATCTTTGTGTTTGTGCAAGGTGCTTATTGTGCACATCCAGAAGAATCAGAATCAGAATCGATCCAAGTGTCCAGAAGTAGGAAACAGGCTGAATATAAGCAGCAAAACGTTAGACAGTGATTTAAAAGTCCAGCTAACTCTATGCATTGGCCTGGAAAGAGACTTAACAACTCTGTGACCTTGGGCAAGTCACTTGACCCTTTCTTTCTAGGCCTTAGTTTCCTCATCTGTAAAATGAGGATGGCAACAGTTTCTACTTCATGTGGTAGTGTTGAGATGATCCACGTAAATACCAAACCGGGGCCTGGCCTGGCTCACTCTGAGCATTCAGGGAATGTGTTTTCATTGTTTACTGGGAAGAGCCAGCCACACAAGTTTATATAAAATGATCTCAGCTTTTTTTAAAAAAAAGATTGTATTTTAAAAAAAGATTTTATTTATTTATTTGACAGAGACAGAGAGAGAACACGAGAAGGGGCAGTGGCAGACAGAGGGAGAGGGAGAAGCAGGCTCCCCGCTGAGCAGGGAGCCCGATGCGGGGCTCGATCCCAGGACCCTGGGATCATGACCTGAGCCGAAGGCAGACGTTCAACCAACTGAGCCACCCAGGCGCACTCCTTGTTTAGATTTTTAAAAAAGTAATCTCTTCACCCAACCTGGGGCTCTAATTTACAATCCCGAGATCAAGAGTCACACGCTCTACCAACTGAGCCAGCCAGGTGCCCTTTGTAATTGAAATTTTGATTAAGATGGGTATAGATCCACATGCAAGAAATAATACAGAGAGAAGCCATTGTGAACTTTGCCCAGATTCCCCCAGTGGTAATATTTTCGAGAACTGTAGTATAACCACAGCTAGGATATTGACATTGATATAATTCCCAATCTTTTCCCCTAGTTTTATTGTAGTTGTGTGTGTGTGTGTGTGTGTTAAGTTCTGTCGTCTCCACCCTCTCATAATCTCATTAAAAAATTAAAAATCTGAAAGGATACAGCTCAAAATGAGGGCAATGGCTATTATCCCTGAGGAATTGTTTTCTTTTTGCAGATCTGCATTTTCTAATTTTTCACTATAATCATGTAATTGAAAACATTTTTTTTTTAAAGATTTTATTTATTTATTTGAGAGAATGAGATAGAGAGAGCATGAGAGGGGGGAGGGTCAGAGGGAGAAGCAGACTCCCTGTTGAGCAGGGAGCCTGATGCGGGACTCGATCCCGGGACTCCAGGATCATGACCTGAGCCGAAGGCAGTCGCTTAACCAACTGAGCCACCCAGGCGCCCTAATTGAAAACACTGTAAGAAAAAACTCCGATGGGGCGCCTGGGTGGCTCAGTCAGTTAAGCATCTGCCTTCCCCTCAGGTCATGATCCCTGCTCAGTGGGGAGCCTGCTTCTCCCTCTCCCTCTGCTGCTCCCCCTGCTTGTGCTCTCTCTCTCAAATAAAAAAATTAATTAATTAATTAAAAAAAAACACAAGAAAACACACTTACTTCAAGATTTTAAGTAATCTCGGGGCGCCTGGGTGGCTCAGTTGGTTGGGCAGCTGCCTTCGGTTCAGGTCATCGTCCCAGGGCCCTGGGATCGAGCCCCACATCGGGCTCCCTGCTCTGCGGAGAGCCTGCTTCTCCCTCTCCCTCTGCCTGCCCCTCTGCCTACTTGTGCTCTCTCTCTCTCAAATAAATAAATAAAATCTTAAGAAAAAAAAAAGGGGGCGCCTGGGTGGCTCAGTCGTTAGGCATCAGCCTTTAGCTCAGGTCATGATCCCAGGGTCCTGGAATTGAGCCCTGCCTCAGGCTCCCTGCTCAGTGGGAAGCGTGCTTCTCCCTCTCCTGCTCCCTCTGCTTGTGTTCCCTCTCTCACTGTGTCTCTCTCTGTCAAATAAATAAAATCTTAAAAAAAAAAAAAAAAGATTTTAAGTAATCTCTACACCCAGTGTGTGGCTTGAACTCACAATCCTGATCAAGAGTCAAACGCTCCACTGACTGAGCCAGCCAGCCAGGAGCCTGAGAAAACACGTTTTTTTTTTTTTTAAATCGTATTTTCTTCTTTTTTTTTTTTTTAAAGATTTTTTTATCTATTTATTTGAGAGAGAGAATGAGATAGAGAGAGAGCATGAGACGGGGGAGGGTCAGAGGGAGAAGCAGACTCCCCACTGAGCAGGGAGCCCGATGCGGGACTCGATCCTGGGACTCGATCCTGGGACTCGATCCTGGGACTCGATCCTGGGACTCGATCCTGGGACTCCAGGACTCCAGGACCACGACCCGAGCCGAAGGCAGTCGCCCAACCAATTGAGCCACCCAGGCGCCCCTGAGAAAACACGTTTTAAGAGTCTTCTAGCTTGATGGCTTCCTGCCTTGTGCCGCTGATAGGGTGTCCCGAGGCTCTCTGCCCTGAGGGTTCTTTCTCCTGTCCCCGCTCCCTCCCTAGGGCCGAGATTTCCCTTTTGATGACTGTGGCCGGGCCTTCACCTGCCTCCCCGTGGAGAACCCCCAGGCTCCGGTGGAGGCCGTGGTCTGCAACCTGGACTGCTTGCTGGACATCATGAGCCATCGGGTAAGGCTGGTGGTGACCATGGGGCCTCCTCCCAGAGAGAGACAGAGCTCTCCCTCTGCACCACAGGCTCTGCAGTCTGTGCTGGGGCAGACAGGGGATGCCAGGAAGAACGGCTTCGGGGTGCCCAGAGTTAGGGCTTCAGGAAGTTAGTCTGGGCCATGCCGGTGGAGAGGTGGGCATGTAGAGGGAAGGACCAGCCTCAACACCAAAGGTCAGGGGAGGCCCCGTTACCTCAGCAGCCAGAGTCCTCCTGGACAGGCCACGACTGCGTTGTGTGGGAGCAGAGGGAGGGCTGGGCCAGGCCAGCGGCTACAGGCTCTCTCTCCTCCACAGCTGGGCCCAGGCTCCCCACCAGGTGTGTGGGTTTGCAGCACTGACATGCTGCTCTCTGTTCCTCCGAACCCAGGTGAGCCTGAGAAGGCTTGGGACTGCCTACCCTAGCCACAGCCAGAAACCGGTCTTCACTTGGTCTCTGGGACTGGCTTGCTGCCCTGTTCAGAAGGGAAACTGTAGGATGTGGAGCCTGAAGCCCAGACCCAGAGGCCGGGCTTCCCTTCCCCCATCGGGCTTCTGTCTGCCTGGCTAGAGAATGGAGACACCCCGCCCTGCCCCTTCGGCCCTGCAGGGCTCTGTGGAAGAATTTTGGGAGGGCAGGTGGTGTCATTCTCCCAGAGGAATGTCCATTTGGCTTTGGAAACCATATTCCCTTTAGAGGTGTCTGGATGTCCCTGCCCTGAGCTCTTGCCTCCTCCTGGCTGGGACCCCCTGCCTTGGGTTGGGGCCCTCAGGGAACCTCCTAACTGCCTGACTCACAGGGATCAGCTGGGACAACTTCCGGGGAGCCAGAGTGATTGCCCTTCCAGGGAGCACGGCCTATGCCCGGAACCATGGTGTTTACCTTACTGACTCCCAGGTACTGCCCCTGGGACAGCGGTGTGGGCCGCCGAACCATCTGGGTTGGCCTTCTGGTCCTCTGCTTGGGGAAGCCTCTCATCCTGGACTTCCTGGCATGGTCTGGATTTGGAGCATTTCCCCTGCAAACAGCCCTTTTGCTCACTTAGTCTTTTGCCAAACGCGAATCACGCACTGGCCACTGGCCGCGTGCTAGGTTCTGTGCCTGTGCTCGGGGCTGTGAAGACATTCAAAGCCTGCCCTCTGCTGTCGGGGGGTGGGAGTCTCCGGCGCTCGCGTCCCTGCGAGCACGCTGGGACCTGCCAGACTTCGTCCCAGCTGTTCATTTGGAGAACACCTTGCCCTTCCCTCCTGACTGATCCTCTCTTGCTCCTTTCCCTAACTCGGTTTTCTCCCCCCTCCACATAGGGCTTCGTTTTGGACATTTACTACCAGGGCACGGAGGCAGAGATACAACGGTGTGCCAGGCCGGATGGGCGGGTACCACTGGTACAGCTGCCAGACCCACGCTGGGGGCTTTGGAGGCCTTCTGGGATGAGGAGGGGAGGGTTTGCCTTCCTGCTCAGGGCAGAGCTCCACTCCTTCCAGATGATTCTGGGGTGGCCTAGAACCAGAAGCCGAGTAAGGTCTAGAACTGGCATTCAGGGGAGTCGGTGGAGCTAGAAGCTGAAGAAGGTGTGGCCTTGGGATTCAGGGTCTTGTCCCAAACCAGAAAGGCTAGAACCAGAATGTGGGGAATTTGGGGAATGCAGTTGGGAGGAAGTCTAGAATCCAACTTGGGTGATCCTTCTAGAACTGGAAGGAAGCCTAGAATCCAACTTGGGGGATCCTTCTAGAACGAAAGACAAGGATAGGACTGTTGGGTAAGGGTTTGGGACTGGACCTTGAGGAAGACAGGGAACTATTTTTTGTTCTCTATCTCTAGTTCAGGAAGGCCTGAAAATTGAGGGGGGTGTCAGAACGTCCCCGTTGAGTGTCCCTGAGTGGGAGCCACTCCCAATAAGCCTGGAGCCTGGGTGCTGGAGTGGTCCAGAGACAAAGTACCCTGCCTGGTATGGCAGCCAACCTTGCCTGGCCCATCTGCATGGGCCTTCCCATGCCCTTCCCAACTCAGGCCCAAGCCTGACCCCAGCATCCCCACCCCCCGACCTGACCCTGACCTGTCCAGGTCTCCGGGGTCACCTTCTTCTCTGTGGAGACTGCCGAGCACCTCCTGGCCACCCATGTGAGCCCGCCCTTGGATGCCTGCACCTACATGGGCTTGGACTCTGGAGCCCGGCCAGTCCAGGTGACCGGGGGCGTGGGCTGGGGTCCCCAGGCCTTGGATAGAGGCCCTGACACTGGCAGCCTGGTTGGGTGGCCTTGGGCCAGTGTCTGGGAATGCGACTGCCCCAGCTCAACCTAGGAACCTTCCCAATAGCTGTGCTTCCTACCCCTGCCCCAGCTGTCTCTCTTTTTCGACATCCTGCTCTGCATGGCCCGGAATGTGAACAGGGAGAACTTCCTGGTGGGGCAGCCCCCGGAGATGGGGCAAGGTGACTCGGACGTCGCGGGTTATCTGCAGGCTGCCCGGGCTGAGCTGTGGAGGGAGCTTCGCGATCAGCCCCTCACCATGGGTGGGTACTGTCACTTGGCTCTCTGAGGTGGGGAGACCACAGGAGTGAGGACCCCTAGGATGAGGCTGCTGCCTGCCTGGCCCCCTGGCTCCTGGACCAGGCAGGCCTAGTGCATGCCAGACAATGACCCCTCTCCCAGTCCAGAACGCATAACTCTCTTCCCTTCTTCCTTTGTCTCATTCCTGGGCTCCAGTCCTAGTCTTTCTACTTTCTAGCTGTGTGACTTGGACAGGTGGCTGAGCCTCTCTGGATCTCAACTTCCCCATGGGCACAGTGGGCTCATTGGCGTGCCTGCCTTCCCAGGGCCTCATTAAGATATGTCTTCCGGTGGGAGACATCAGAGCTGTAGCAGGCACGGAGTTGGGGTCAGTCCTTGTATCTTTACAGCTTATGTCCCCGACGGCAGCTACAGCTACATGACCAGCTCGGCCAGTGAGTTCCTGTGCAGCCTCACGTTCCCTGGGGCTCCCAGGGCCCGGGTAGTGCACTCCCAGGTGGAGGTAAGGCCTGCCTGGAGGGAGGGCCGGCGGAAGTGCCTGGGGGTGCCTGCGGACAGATGGGGCGGGGGCTCCCGGAAAGGGAAGGGATAGCCCGCGCTTGGGACAGATCACTACGCGTGTAGGCGTGATTGTTCTCATTGTTTACATGAGGCCCTGGAGGCTCAGAGAGGTTAAGTAGCTTGCTTCAAGCCACAGAGCCAATAGGTGGCCAAGTCGGGATTCTCCATCCGGGTCTGCCTGACTGAGAGACTAGAGAAGCCACTCTCTGCGGGCTCTGCTTGGGGAGACAGGCACATTTGAGGCGATGGGCCAGGGTCAGTGCCATAGGCTGAGGAAGCGGGCAGGGAGAGTTCATAGGTGGCTCTCAGGGTGGCAGGGGTGGGGATTCCCGGGAGAGCTGTCATCTGGGGCGGGGGACCTCCGCCACTGAGTGCAGATTTGCTCTGGGGAGAACGCAGGCAGAGCGTGCCACGGGGGGAGCAGCATGAGCAAGGTGGGAGGGGAGCTGGTCTGCGGCTGGGGCCGGGGCAGAGGGGGCTGGCTGGCCGTCAGACTCGGGGAGCAGCAGGAATTCTGGCGGGGGCCTTGGACGCGGAGGGGGATTGGGCAGCCCCGGGTGCGGGGCGCTCACGACCTCCTCCCTGCTTCGCAGGAGCTGCAGCTCCTGGGCGCCGGGAGCTCTGTGGTCAGCTGCCTGCTCGAGGGCCCTGTCCAGCTGGGTGCTGGGAGTGTCTTGCAGCACTGCCACCTGCAGGTGAGGTCAGAGGGCAGGGCGGAGGGAGGGCAGGCCTCCAGGGGCCAGGGTCCTGGGTGCGCTGGGGGGGCACTAAGGGCTGTGCTAGGATGCCTGCCTTTTCTTCTTCCAGGGCCCCATTCGCATCGGCCCTGGCTGCCTCGTGAGTGGCCTGGACACGGCGCAGTGCGAGGCCCTGCGTGGCTTGGACCTGCATGACCTCGTCCTGCAGGGACACCACGTGCAGCTACACGGTGCTCCCGGCCGTGTCTTCACCCTTGTTGGCCGTCTGGACAGCTGGGAGGCAGGTGTCCATCCCTCCTCCCTCACCGCCCATCTTAAGGCTTTGGGGAGCCCCGAGGGTCCCAGCCTAGCGCCTACACCACTGCAAGTCTCTCTGAGGGATGGGCGGAGGTGGGGTGAGGAGGGTGTGGCTAGTAGTCTCAGCAGGCCTTTCCCTCCCTCCTTGTCCGCTCTGTGTGGCGGGCTGGCTGGGGATTTTTATGCCCATGTTGTAGGCCAGACACTGAGGTTCAGAGAGGGTGGTGACCTGCCTTGGACTGCAGAGCCAGTTACGGTGGGATGGGCCTAGAAGCAGGGTTCCGCTGCGAGTTCCCGGCACCTGGGCAGGAGCACTGAGGCTCCGGGGCTTGGTGCGGTGTTACAGAACTTGCTTGTGTATGTGCCCGTGTCTCTTCCTGTCCTCTCTGGCCTTAGGGTCCCTCACCCCTTCCTGTGGCCCCGGAGGCCCTGACTGCCTCCTCCTCTTCCCCCAGAGGCAGGGGACAGGAACATACCTCAACATGTCCTGGAGTGAATTCTTTCAGAAGACAGGCGTTCGGTAAGGTGGATGACCCCGATGGGCCTCCATAGGCCTAGGCGGCCAGGGGGGCTGCTTCTCTGCGGCTCACCCCTGCCGTTGCTCCTGCCCCCGAGGGCAGCACCCGGCCCCCCCAACCATCCCGGGGGCCTGGGATAGTTTTGGGCAGCCTGATTTGCCCCAGCATCTTCCCAGGCAACTCCAAATTCCTAGCTCTGCTCAGGCTTTGGGATTTGGTTCAGTGGTCTGGGAAAGGAGGCAAGGCAGCTGGGCCTCCCTCCCTGAGTTGTCCGCTTGGGCTGCCTCTGGAGGAGTTTGTCCTGTCCCCATGAATGAGCCAGCTCCCAGCTGACAGGCAGTCAGGGCTTGGTGATCAGGCAGGAGCCCTTGTTGCCCCGCCTTCCCCTCCCTCCCCCTAATGTGCCTTTTCCCCACATCAGAGACTGGGATCTGTGGGATCCAGACACCACCTCTGCAGAGCGTTGCCTTCTTAGTGCCCGCCTCTTTCCCGTGCTCCACCCCTTGAGGGCCTTGGGGCCCCAGGACTTGCTGTGGATGCTGGACCCCCAGGAGGATGGAGGCAAGGCCCTAAGGGCCTGGCGGACCTGTTGGCGTCTGTCCTGGGAGCAGCTGCAGCCGTGCCTGGACCGGGCTGCCACACTGGCCTCCCGCCGGGACCTGTTCTTCCACCAGGCCCTGGGGAAGGTGAGGCATGTGCTGGAGGCCCGGCAGGACCTCAGCCTGCGCCCACTGATCCGTGCTGCTGTCCGAGAGGGCTGTCCTGGGCCCCTGCTGGCCACTCTGGACCACGGTGAGTGTGCTGGAAAGCCAGTCCCACCGTCACCTGCCCTCCCTGCCCTCTGAGTCATCAGTCTGAGGGCACTAGGGAGCCAGGAGACTTTAAAGCAGGGGAGGGATGCAGTGAAGTGTACTTGTAACTTTGTGGGAAGTTTCATCCCTGTCAGTGGGGAGTTTGGTGAGAGGCTGGGGCCTGGGGCTGAGCCTCGGGGTCCTGTGAGCATCGGCAAACCCTGCATGTTTTGCAGTGGGCTGGGATGTCGTTGGCTCCATCTTGAGGCCCAGGCGCACTAGCTAGGGGCTCAGCCTTAGCCTCGTGGGCAGCACCTCATTATCCCCATTTAAGCTGGTTGGTGGTGGGGCTGAGACTAAAACCCAGGTGGTTGGACCCTGGAGCCTGAGCTCGTAACCACTGTGGATATCCCGGGTGAGGGGTGAAGAGGCACATCTGGGATGGGGCTGATGAGAAGAACTCTTCCGGGCAGAGAAGCGGGGAACATTCATGGGCAAGGACACATCCTGGGCAAAAGTGAAGAGGTGTGAGGGACCTTTTGTTTGGGGATTGCCGAGTAGTATTCTGGGGCAGAGGGCAATGGGGGCAGGCCCCTTCCCCCACCACCCTGACTCCTGGTCTCTCAGTTGCAGCTGGTGCGGGAGACCCTGGTGTGGCAGCCCGGGCTCTGGCCTGTGTGGCCGATGTCCTGTGCTGCATGGCAGAGGGCCGAGGAGGCTTACGGAGTGGGCCAGCTGCCAACCCTGGGTGGATGCAGCCCTTCTCGTACCTGGAGTGTGGAGACCTGGCGGGGGGTGTGCATGCGCTTGCCCAGGAGCGGGACAAGTGGCTGAGCAGGTGGGTGCTAATGATGTCAGAGCCTTTGCGAGGTCCCTGGCCATCCTTGGAGGTAGAAACCCACGGAGAGTTAGGGGCGTCCTCCTCCCCAGGGTAGGGTTACCCAGGGCAGTCAGGTCCCCAAGCGCAGGCAGTTCACCCCCAGCTTGGGGCTGCATGCCACCATCTGTCCCTTCCCTCTTGGCAGGCCAGCCTTGCTAGTGCGAGCTGCCCGCCACTACGAGGGAGCCGGGCAGATTCTCATCCGCCAGGCTGTGATGTCAGCCCGGCAGTTTGTGTCCACGGAGCCAGCAGAGCAGCCAGCTCCTGGACAGTGGGTGGTGGCTGAGTGCCCGGCTCGGGTGGATTTCTCAGGTGAGCCTTTGGGGGTGGGGGTGAGGGTGGCCACCCCAGAGCGGGGCTGGCAGCCCTTGTGACCCACTTGGTCTTATCCAATTGCTGAAGGTGGCTGGAGCGACACGCCACCCCTTGCCTATGAGCTCGGTGGGGCAGTGCTGGGTCTGGCCGTGCGAGTGGATGGCCGCCGACCCATCGGGGCCAGGGCACGCCGCATCCCAGAGCCCGAGCTGTGGCTGGCAGTGGGGCCTCGGCAGGACAAGATGGCCCTGAAGATAGTGTGCTGGAGCCTGGATGACCTGCGGGATTACTGCCAGCCCCATGCCCCAGGTCAGGGCACTTTGACATCTCCAGGCGGGGATGGCACTCGTGTCCAGCTGAGGGGTGGGGGCAGAACCTTGGAGACCCTGCAGGCCACAGAGGCCTGGCCTGAGGGTGAGCCGGTCTGTATCCTGCCTAGGTGCATATAGGCCTAGGAGGTAGGGCTGGCACATTTGCCTCTGCTGGGAGACCAGAGGCCCTTTCATGGTTTAGAGATGGGGCCTACAATACTGTTGGGCTTTTGTCCCCCGGGGAGCCTCATGCTGGGCTGGGCAGTAATGGAGGTGGCTTGGGGTATCTGCTTCTGCCCTTGGAGACCAGATTCCTTGCTGGTCCCTCCACAGGGGCTCTGCTGAAGGCAGCCTTCATCTGTGCGGGGATCGTGCATGTCGGCTCCAAGCTTTCGCTGCGAGAGCAGCTGCTGCACGCCTTCGGGGGAGGCTTCGAGCTGCACACCTGGTCGGAGCTGCCCCACGGTTCTGGTCTTGGTGAGCCGGTCCTGCTCCCTGCTGCCCACCAACTGCATCCCCAACCTCTGGCCTCACCTCTGATCCCCCCCGAGCCTCTGCCCAGCAGAGGGAGTGGGTGGGGCAGGACTGGGCTGGGCAGAGCTGTTTCATGGCTGGCGCCTTTCTCTGCACCTGCAGGCACGAGCAGTATCCTGGCAGGCGCAGCCCTGGCTGCCGTGCAGAGGGCCGCGGGCCGGGCGGTGGGCACCGAGGCCCTGATCCATGCGGTGCTGCACCTGGAACAGGTGCTCACCACAGGTATGGGACTGCCCTGAGGCAGGCAGGAGGTCGTGGGCATTTCCCCAAGGCTCTGCAGGGGCTCCCTGGACTTGCAGACGGCCACATAACTGTACTACTCCTTAAAGTGGTTACAGTGTCCTTACCACTCTGACCCTTTCTGCTTGGTTTTCAACTTGAAATGTTTCAACCTCCAACGGCCTAATGCTTTAGGAGCACCTACTAAGTGCCAGATTCTGTGCTGCAGTTTTCATGTGTCCTATTAGGTACCCGTTATACCAGGTGCTATTCCCCATGATTCTCTCCCCACATAGGGCTGTCCCTCAGGGTGGGGCTGGGCAGAGGTGGGTTTGGAATAGAGAATAGAGCTTTTAGCTTGCCTTCTGGCCACTTGCCCCTCCCTTGGGCTGTGGTCATTTGTGCCCCCCACTACTATATGGGGGGTGCGCAGAGGGCCCAGTACATGGCTCTGATCATAATGGAATGTTACTAGCTTCTCCTCCACACCACTGTGGCCCCTTGGAATCCACAAGGGAGCGCAGCTGGAGGTTTGTCTGACCCCAGATCCTATGGAGATCCCATAGGTCCACGTGCAGGGCCTCACGTGCATGACGCAGGGAAGGAAGCTGCTGCAAAGAGAGAGAGATGCCTGACTATGGCATCTCCTCTGGCCACTTTGTAGCCCCACCTCCTCCTTCCATTGCCGTGATTCACACCCCAGAATGGGTAGTCACTAGCAAGGAGGGGGAGGGGGCTTTTCACTTTCCTTCTGAGGTGTACCATTCAAATCCTTCATTTGGTCAATTGACAATGATTTATTAAGTATCCACTCTGTGTCGGGCCTTGGGGATAAAATGAGCAAATGAGCAAAAACAGGGTCCTTTCCCTCAGAAGTCCTATGGTCTATTGGAGACAGACTTTAATCAATAACCACTGAAATGAACGTATAATTACAAGCTGTGCTGAGTGCTCTGAAGGAGGGGGTTGCTGTTAAAAAGAGTTCTTGACATTCGGGGCCCGAAGCCAACCGCCTTGTCTTGGCTGTAAAGTTCCAGATGCTTCCTGTCATTGGCATTTTGTACTTCAGTCCTTGCAGGCCCTTCCCCAGATATGGAAGGCCTATCTCAGAATTATCTCAAATAGTGTCACTTTTTTTTTTTTTAAGATTTTATTTATTTATTTGACAAAGAGACACAGCGAGAGAGGGAACACAAGCAGGGGGAGTGGGAGAGGGAGAAGCATGCTCCCCGCTGAGCGAGGAGCCTGATGTGGGGCTCGATCCCAGGACCCCAAGATCATGACCCGAGCCGAAGGCAGATGCCCAACGACTGAGCCACCAAGGTGCCCCTAAATAGTGTCACTTTTATATAGCTGCAAGAGGAAGAGATCCATACCGTTCATTGCTAAAGTAAGATGTGAACAAGCTCTTTCAAGTTCAATGAGAGATGCTGAAAAGCTGATTTCTAACATCAACACCCTTTATTAGAAAAGACAGGGTGCAGGGGCCTGTTAGGCTGCAGGGAAAGTCCTATGTCATCTCTCCTGGAGGGGAGAAGTTTACCGTTAGGGCTTACCCTTTGATGTGTTTTACCTCAATTCCATTTACAGTTAGGTCTGCAACTCGGGCCTTGTGAGTTCCAAGCTTGGCTCCAGAGTGAAACCCTTTCCCCTTGCTGGGCTTGTCCTGTTCCCAGGTCTGGGGGCAGAAGTTGCACAGCTCACCTGGCCCAGCCTGAGTTGGGGGAAGCTGTCTTCCCACACTGGTTCCTGCCAGGGGTGCAGGGCTGGGAGCCGGGGCTGGGAGCCAGAAGTTGAGCCAGATAGGCTCCAAAAGTGATGGGACCCTGGGCTTGCAGGAGGTGGCTGGCAGGACCAAGTGGGTGGCCTTATGCCTGGCATCAAGGTGGGGCGCTCCCGGGCTCAGCTGCCACTGAAGGTGGAGGTGGAGGAGATCACTGTGCCTGAGGGCTTTGTCCAGAAGCTCAGCGACCACCTGCTCCTCGTGTACACTGGCAAGACCCGGCTGGCACGGAATCTGCTGCAGGTGAGCCCTGGTCCCGGGACGAGGGAGGGAGGTGGATGGCTCAGCCGGGCCCAGATCCTTGCTGCCTCCCTCCCGCCCCATCTGCAGGACGTGCTGAGGAGCTGGTATGCCCGGCTGCCTGCCGTCGTGCGGAACGCCCACAGCCTGGTGCAGCACACCGAGGAATGTGCTGAAGCCTTCCGCCAAGGTGAGGTGCTTCTTGCTGGGTCTCAGGGCATCAGGAGCGAGTACCTTGTTGCCTGTGGGTCTGGGCCAGGACCCTTTGCAGGCTTGCCTCAGGCCCCATGTATGAGGCCCCTGGAGACAGAAACCTACTGTCCGTCCTCTGCAGGGTCTTACACTTAGGTGGGAGCTATATCTTAGGGTAACACTTGCACCCTGAGGAAGGCCTCCAGCCCCACCGAGCAGGCAGCAGACTGGGGAGGAGGCTCAGCCCCATTGTTGAGCTCCAGAGTCAGTGGATTAGGGTTCCGTGTGTGGCCACAGTTGACTGAACACTGTATTGGGCCCCATGCAGCTGCTCTTTGCACTTCAGTCTTCAAACAACCCTGTGTGTTGGGCTTCAGCACTCCTGTTTCCAGCCAGCACTGGACCTAGGTTTTTAACCATGACACTGGTTAAGTAGTGTCTCTTGGCACCTCATTTGGTCTACAAATGGGTGTTGAAGGAATATCCTGGTTCAGGCAGGCCACTCCCTTCTGCCCCCTCTCCAGGAAGCCTGCCTCTGCTGGGCCAGTGCCTGACCTCCTACTGGGAGCAAAAGAAGCTCATGGCTCCAGGCTGTGAGCCCCTGGCTGTGCGGCGTATGATGGATGTCCTGGCCCCCCACGTGCATGGCCAGAGCCTGGCAGGGGCAGGTGGAGGGGGTTTTCTCTATCTGTTGACCAAGGAGCCGCGGCAAAAAGAGGCTCTGGAGGCTGTCCTGGCCAAGACTGAGGTACCTGATGGTGTTGGGGGTGTGGTAATTGGTGGGGGACAGGAGCCCTCACTGTGGCCCACCACTAACCAGGGGCTACAGCTGCAAGTCCCCCTGACCACCTTGCAGCATGAGGTTTGTGGCCTGAGACTTGCCCAGAGCCTCCTGTCCTCTAAACACTTCCTGTTCTTTGCTCCTAGGGCCTCGGGAACTACAGTGTCCACTTGGTAGAAGTGGACACTCAGGGCCTGAGCCTGCAGCTGCTAGGGGATGAGACCTCAACCTGATGCTCCTTCCCAGAAGCTTGTCCCTCTGTAAGAGGAGAAAACTTGGAGCTACAGCAGCCCCACCTTTCCTTCCCCCATGAAAGTGTCAGCCTTCTACTCTCTACCCACCCCTTTATGAACCTGCTCCCAAAGGAAGCCAGCCAATGTGAGCTTGGGCCCAGCCCTTTCTGAAGCTTGGTGAAACAGATGGTGCCTGGGAATAGGACTGTGACCTCCTGGTTGACTGTGGTCTAGGCCTAGCCTCTGCTCTATCTGGACACAGGCGAGTCCTAAGCTGAGTGTCCCATTTGGCCTTTACAGATCTCTGGCCCGCCTTGGGCCTTGGCCTCCTTACTCTCCATGAGGGCCTGGAAAAAGGATGACCAGCTTTAGCAGATGGCTGGGGTCCTTGGTAAGGCCAACCCTGAAGAGGCTCTTCGAGGCATTTCCTGTGGCCTTCCTTAGAGGTCAGGCTTTTGCCTGAGAAGAGAGTTCCTGTTCAACACTCATTCCTAGGCTGACTTGATGGGGGAGGGGGAACAGGGGTGTGGGTCCCTACTCTTGTTTGTGGCCATGAGCCAATGTGGTCTTACAGCAAGTCACTGCTAATAGAGGCCTTAACCGTTAACACTACAGACTATGCCACATGACCCAATGCCAATGGGCACTCGATTCTCAGGATTGCATCCTTCTTGGAATAAATGTGCTCTGCCCTTCCAGGTTGTTTTCATAAAGTTCTTTTTTGTTCTTGCCAGGAGTAATTCCCACTTGCCTTGGCACTGTGGGAAACTCCCCCTGGGATGATCCAGCTTCTGGTGCTAAGGGCCCAAGAGGGGGATGAGGATCCAGGGTTAGATGAGGTTGAGGTGCATGCTTTCATGTGGGTCCTGACAGTGGTGTGCGCCCCTCTGGGTGTGGGAGGAGGCTGAGGCTTTAGGCTTTTGCCTTCACACTTCAGTGCAACTGGTGGACCTGTCTTGCCCTATAGCATCCAGCCCTCCCTGGAAACAGCATACTGGCATCTCTCCAAGGAGTGTCTTTATTCAGGGTGATCATAAACATCATAGCCTCTCCTCAGAGTAAACCTAATTCCCCAGGGCCCCAGATATACCCAATTCCTTTAGGGCTGGCAGGGAGGCAGGTTGTTTGCTGTAGTGTCTGAGAACAGAATGGCCACCTGTGCAGAAAGCTGGCCTGCCTTGGCTTTCCCACATAATTAGGCGCCCAGGGGGACTGACCTCTCTTGGTAGGGAGAGGCTACCTGCAAAGCACCACCCAGACAGGCCTGAGTGCAGACAGCAGAGTGAGTTGAGCCTTATTTCCTGCTGTCTGCAGTGGAAGTCTGCTCCGTCAGAGCTCCCCAAGCCAGACAGCCTTGCTCAGCTACTTGGCGGTGGCCACTTAGGGAAGGGGCCTGAAGAATGACGGGCCAGGTGGGCGCCCCCTGGCAGCTACAGGCGCAGCCTCTTGATGTCTTCGCTGCGGAAGTCCATGCGCAGAGCCAGCACCTGGCGTACTTCGGCAGGGGTGAGGCGCCACGTCAGTGGGCCAGAGTTGGCGCCCCAGTAATCTAGGATCTCCGTGACCTGTGGGGAAGAACATATGACAAGTCAGCAACGAGAGGCTACCCTGAGAGAAGGCCCTGTGCTCCACCAGAGGCAGAGCAGGGGTGGTGCCCAGGAAGAAGGTGCTCTGTAGGGCTGGGCTGCTGGTGGACGCTTGGTTTTGAGGGAGAGGCAGGGATCCAAATGTTTCTGCCTCTCTTCCCAGTTACCTTTCCCTCGCCAGGTCAAGGGAGCCACACATACCCGCTCCAGATTGAGGATCGTGGCCATCTGGGAGAGCCGGGCAAACTTGTCTCGGATGGTCCAGGTGGTCACTGTGGTAAGGTAGGCGATGAGTGACCTCAGCTCCTTATCAAACTGCAGACCGCCCAGCTGCAAGGGGGCACAGGCTCAGTCAGTGTTCAAGGCCTGGCCCTCATGTGGTGCCTCAGTCAGCTCCAAGGCCTCAGATGCCAGGGCAGGACTGGGGCTAGATATGCAGGGCCTGCGGGTAGCAGACGGAGGGGATGCAAGTCCTAGGATGGCAGGACTTGTCTTCCTCGGAGGAAAAACAACAGAGCTGGGGACCTGTACTCCCTGGACCTTACTTACCCGGTTAAAGGTGGATTTCAGCACCACTCTCTCCAACTCGACTGCAATAAGGCTGGTCATGAGGCCGGTCAGGCTGTCATAGATGACTGGGGACAGGCTGGCCTGCACACAGGCTAGACATTAGTTAGAGTCCTACCTAAGCCCCTCTGTCTCCAACAGGAGTCTTCGGGGGGTAGGCACAGTTACAGGAGGCTGTTGGGGGAGTATGTCTACAGGCTGGGGCCTGGAAGAGTTTTGGGGGTTCCCAATAGGGTGGGATGAGAAGCCAAAGGCTGCTGATTTGGGCAGAGGTGGGTAATTCCATAACCTGGTCTCTGAGCTCCTGCTCACCTTGAACTCCGCCATTTGTTGCTCCAGGTTAAGGATGAACTGTTGTACCCAAGGGTCATTGGCCTCATAGTCATTGAACTCTTCCTATTGTCAGGAAACAAGCTGGGTCACTGGGGGTCTCTCCAGAAAGTACCATTCACCCTACCCCACTTTCACCCCTCTAAAACAGAGGAAGAGGCCTTTCCTCTCCAGCTTCTGACTCATCCAGCTTAAAAGCAGCTTGGATGTCCAAGCTGGCGTATGCCACTGCTTTTATGTCACACTTCGATCAGGAAAGGCCCTGGGCTGCAGCAGCGGCCCCCACAATACGGTAAAGCTCCTGGCCTTTTATTTCCTTTTGCATCTCATGTTCTGCAAGAATGATATCATTAGGCTAGAAAAAAAGCTCCTAAGTCTGATAGGTGGGGCAAAAAGCCTCAACAAAAGAGGATGTGTCAGGTCATGGCAAACCCCCTACAGGTGTCTTTCAGAGCCCTTCTGTCTGCAGGAACAACTGTTTCCTGGGAAGAACCTAGTCTTCCAGGGGGAGAGGCTGAAGGTCACATCCATAGAAGTATATTATACTTCCATGGAACTTCCCTCCAGAGAAGCAGGGAAGGGCTGGTCTGTGCAGACAGCTCCACTGCCCTCCAGCCGGGGGGTTGGGAGAATGAGGAGTAATCCTGGGCCTGATGGCTGCCTATGGTCAGGCTGACCTCCTCGATGTTGTGGGAGACAGATAAGAAGGTGTTGATCCAAGGCTGCACCTGCGGCTTGATGGCTGTGCTGTTTAGCTCTGTCAGCCCTTCCTGCGGGACGAGGCAGAGACACATGAGACAAAGAAGACGCGTGTACCTTGCCCTTCCTTTCTTCTGCTCCATCCATCCCGTGACTGCCAGGGCATTCTTCCAGTTCTCAGGCTTTCCTGTGGGCCTATCCAAAGTCTACCAGAAAATGCTAATCGAAGGGGTCAGAAACAACCTGTTCCTTTCCAGATCTGTACCAATTCAGGTCCAGGCTATGGGGTTGGTTTGGCAAACTCAAAAAAAGAGATTTCTGAGTGCCCGATAGTAGGCAGCACCTTTGGCTAAGGCCAAGCAGCAGGTCCGAGTAACCATGTGGTTCCATTCCATCTGAGCACCTTTCTGGGCTCTCGGCACTGGGGGCCAAGTGGAGACTTAAGAGGACCAAAATGCTGGCTTGTCAGCATGACAACTGCTGAAAAACCTTTAATCTTTTTTTTTTTTTAAGATTTTATTTATTTATTTATTTGAGAGAGAGAGAATGAGAGACAGCACGAGAGGGAAAAGGGCAGAGGGAGAAGCAGACCCCCTGCTGAGCAGGGAGCCCGATGTGGGACTCGATCCCGGGACTCCAGGATCATGACCTGAGCCGAAGGCAGTCGCTTAACCAACTGAGCCACCCAGGCGCCCGAAAAACCTTTAATCTTAAAGGGACTCGAGTTCAGTGTCTTGCATGCTACCCCCTCATTTCTCCTTGTTTCCTTCTATACACTGATCCCGTAATAAACCAGTAACAATATTCTCAGAGCAACACACAGGCACAGAATTCAGTCAGCAACTGATTGTGGGGCTTACCTGTAAGAGGTCTCGGAATTTGCTGGACACGGCAGCCAAGTCAGAAAGGCAGCTGTCAAACTTGGCCTGGGCCTGCTCCCCTCCAATGCCCTGGCTGAACAACTTGGTGCAGTCACTCTAGGGGAGAGTACCCAGTTATCAGGCTTCCAAGCATGGCTGGGCTGTGTGGGTACAGGGAGAGTGGGGAGGATACCCACGTGCAACCAGCCATTTCTACCAACTCCAGCTTTCTCCGGGAACAGCTATAGTCCATCCTAGGCAAGAGTCCTTGATAGGTTTCAGAAAACTTGGATACTATCCCACTGGCTAGCCACTTGGCTCCCTCGTCCCCCTTTGTAAGGTGACAGTATTGGTATCAGGGGGGTGTGAATAAGAAACATAAAAACCGGAAGTTTTTTCATACCTTTAGAGTCAGACATTCCTAGCTTCAAATCCTGGCTTAGCTACATATTGGTTGAGTGACCTTGGTCAAGTGATTTAAAGTTTCTGAGCTTCAATTTCCCTGTGTATAAAACGGGCACACAAATTCCTGTCCCCACGGTGGCTGGGAGAGTCGGAGGAGATGATGCACAAAGTGCCCAGTGCACTTCCTGGCTACTAGCAGCCACTAAGGAGACACTAGCTTTTATTGTTACAGTTTCTGCTTTTTAAATAATCTGGTCCTGGGGCCCCCGGGGGGCTCAGTCAGCTGAGCGTCTGACTCTTGACACCAAGGCACCCTGATGAATAAATCTTTATTAAAAGAATAAAATAATTTGATTTGGCTGCCCAAGGGAGATCATCATGATCACAGCTAAGTTTTAAGTGCTTACTATATGTCAGCCTGTTTAAAGCATTTATTACTTACAGTACCTATCTTGGGGCGTCTGGGTGGCTCAGTCGTTAAGCGTCTGCCTTTGGCTCAGGTCATGATCCCAGGGTCCTGGGATTGAGCCCAGCATCGGGCTCCCTGCTCGGCGGGAAGCCTGCTTCTCCCTCTCTCACTCCCCCTGCTTGTGTTCCCTCTTTTGCTCTCTCTTTCTCTGTCAAATAAATAAGATCTTTAAAAAGAAATAAAATCCTGGGGTGCCTGGGTGGCTCAGTCGTTAAGCGTCTGCCTTCGGCTCAGGTCGTGATCCCAGGGTCCTGGGATCGAGCCCCGCATCGGGCTCCCTGCTCGGCAAGAAGCCTGCTTCTCCCTCTCCCATTCCCCCTGCTTGTGTTCCCTCTCTCGCTGTGTCTCTCTCTGTCAAATAAATCTTTAAAAAAAAAAAATAATAAAGTACCTATCTTATGAAGTAGGTACTGTTACTATCCCTTTGTATAGATGGGGAAACTGAGGCACAGAGGAGTTAATAATTTGCCTAGCGCCACCCAGCAGTTAAGCTGTAGAGCTGGGATTCAAGCTGGGATTCTGGCTCCAGAGTGCCTATCCCTAACCCCCACACTACAGCCTAGGTATAGAGAACATCACAAATGCAGCTGCTTGGAACTCACCATGTTTTGCTTTGCCAGGAGCTCCTTAGAAGTCTGCTGTCTTGGCTACCGCAGAAGCAGCAGTATGCAAGAGACAGGCAGAAGCCCTCAGTTCCACGGCAGCTCCAATATGCACTATCTTTACCTAGCCTTTTTTTTTTTAAATTTTTTTTTTAAAGATTTTATTTATTTATTTGAGACAGAATGAGAGAGAGAGAACACATGAGGGGGGGAGGGTCAGAGGGAGAAGCAGACTCCCCACCGAGCAGGGAGCCCGATGCGGGACTCGATCCCGGGACTCCAGGATCACGACCTGAGCCGAAGGCAGTCGCTTAACCGACTGAGCCACCCAGGCGCCCCTTTACCTAGCCTTTTAACCTCATCGCACCACCTGACCTATCTCACAGGTTTGCTGGTGGGGTTCAGAAAGAATACACGTGAAATGCAAATCTAAGGTGGGTGGGATTTATGGGAATGGTTTTTTCAGCTCTTTGCTCTCTTTTTCTTTCACTTGGCTAATTCTGCTGGCTCAGTTCTGAATTTCTAACATGTCCCAAAATACTCCTTTCAATTTGAATATTCTAATGTTAAGGACAAAGTCAGGAATACAATCTAAGGTGCCGTGACTCAACTATGATGACAGCCACCTTGTTGAACACATACAGTGTGACAGATACTATGCTTTTGGTACTTTGTAAATATCACTCTTATTTTATTCCATTTTAAGGCCTTTTTGGGATAAATTCCTAATCTGAATCTCTCATCTGGCTGCTCTCTGAGCCTCCTTCAGGAATTGCATCAGTTACAAGGACTTGGCCCCTCTGTGCTGGCTCCTGGCCCCCTCAGTCTGCCCAGCCCTAAAACCGGCACTAACCATCAGCCTGTGCGCTGAGCCCTGTGCCTCTGCAGTAACATATCCTCCTTGGAAGAAGTGTCCGCTGGGGTAGCAGGGCCCTGGCTTCCCTCCTCTCCCAGAGGCAGACTTTCGGAGTGGGGGAGAGTTGGGTCCTTCATTTTTTAATATTTAGCAAAATGACTGCTTCGTGCTGTTACGTGTAACTATTAGTACAATTATTAACTACCCCTGTTTGCCTCTCACATACCAGGTATTTTATATTATCACATTCAATTTTCATGACTGCGAGGCAGAGATCACTCTCCCTATTTATACATGAGGACACTGAGGCTCTGGGAGGTTAGAGAACTTGCTTATGCCACACAACTGGTCAGTGGTCAAGCGGAGATATGAACTCAGGGGCATCTGACTTCCAAGGCCAAGCAATTTCTACCACACTATGCAGCCTTCCTTTAAAATAATGGTAACAGCAACAGATTTGTACAGGGTTTGGTAAACCCTATTTCATCTTAATTTCCTTTTTTTTTTTTTTTTTAAGATTTTATTTACTTATTTGACAGAGACACAGTGAGAGAGGGAACACAAGCAGGGGGAGCGGGAGAGGGAGAAGCAGGCTTCCCACTGAGCAGGGAGCCCGATACGGGGCTCGATCCCAGGACCCCGGGACCATGATCTGAGCCGAAGGCAGACGCTTAATGACTAAGCCACCCAGGCGCCCCTGATCTTAATTTCCTAACATTTTTAGGGGACTTTATCATTTTTTAAAGCGCTTTCAACCCCTTTTTAATTAGGCCCCCCAATAAACCCAAATGAGGGCAGGAAGGAGATCTGTTTTATAGATGAGAGTGCTGAGGCTCAAGGAGTTAAGGGACTTGCCAGAGGTCACAGGCCAAATATGTGCTTTTTGTGCTGGAAGCACTAATTTGAATTCTCATCTTCCAACTTGTGGGTTGACCGCCAAGTGAATCCCCTCAAGTGCTCTGAAGGAAGACTAGCTCAATGCCAGGGAATGCACAGTCCCCATCAGAACCAGTGCACAGGAGTCCTCCACGGGCAGGCCCAGAAAGGCTGCAGCTGCTGAAAACTGAGAGGCAATTTTCTCCATACCTCCAGCGTCTTCTTCAGTGTGGAGATGTTCTCACTGCACACTTCCACGTTGTTCAGGGTCACCTGGGAGATGAGGACAGAAGAATGTGACTTCCTGCTCACCGGTGTCTGTATCCACTTCAGTGCAGGCTGGCTGACTGGCTGACAGCTGTACTCCTGAGGCTCAGAGCGGGGCTAAGGAACATGCACAGCAATGTCATCTAGAAGGGCTCTCAGGTCTCAGACTGGGCAGAATAGTGAACCAGACTTGCCCTTTCTCCTGTGCCTGACACTAAGGCAGCAAAGCCATCTGACCTCAGGGGTAGTGACCCAAGGTTTCAGGTCTTTTTGTTCCATGTTTAGGCACACAGGTCTGGGAGAAGTCCTGGGCTCTAAGCCCAGATCAGTGAGGCGAAGGCTGACATTTAAGAAATGCTTCCTGGGGTGCCTGGGTGGCTCAGTCATTTAAGTGTCTGCCTTTGGCTCAGGTCATGATCCCAGGGTCCTGGGATCGAGCCCCATGTCTGGCTCCTTGCTCAGTGGGGAATCTGCTTCCTCCTAAGCCCCTCCCCCTGCTCATGCTCTCTCCCTCAAATAAATAAATGCTCTCTCAAATAAATAAATAAAATCTTAAAAAAAAAATCTACCCTCTCATAGAGTTCACATTCCAGAAGGCAAGTCAGATAAGAAATACCAGGTCATGATAAACACAATGCAGAATAAAGCAGGGTGAGAGGATGGTAAGTTAGTGACAGGCCACACAGCTAGAGCCAGGAAGAGAAATCATGTCTCCCTACTCTCGTCTCAGCCATGAGCTCCTTCTTTCATAACTCTATTGCCTTAGAAGCTCGGTGCAGAAATACCAATCATAAAAAGCAGCATGTAACAAAAATGATGATTAAGGCACAAACTGCTATGGCCCTTTAGAAGAAACATTTCGGTCTAAGGCATTTAAGGAAAGCTCCATAGCAGAGGTGGTAACTGAGATGAATTTAATTCAGCTCAAAAAGGCTGGTGTAATTCTGACAGTTGAGGGTGAGTACACTGCTCTACCCGTATCAGCCTTTCTCTAGTGCACTGTCAGTCCCTTTGATATTTTCTTTTTTTTAAAGATTTTATTTATTTATTTGACAGAGACACAGCGAGAGAGGGAACACAAGCAGGGGGAGAGGGAGAGGGAGAGGGAGAAGCAGGCTTCCTGCGGAGCAGGGAGCCCGATGCAGGGCTCGATCCCAGGATCCTGGGATCATGACCTGAGCCGAAGGCAGACGCTTAACGACTGAGCCACCCAGGCGCCCCGCCCTTTGATATTTTCTTAATGGTATTTAGGATTACCCAGTATTATTTTGTTTGCTGCTTGTTTGCCTTTCCCGCTAGAATGAGAGTGCCATGAAGGCAGGGATCTATTCTGTTTTCTTTAGAGCTATATCTCTAGTAGAACACTGCCCAATAGAACTTTCTTGACGATAGAAATATTCTACATCTTGTCTAGTACAGTAGCCCTAGCTATCTGTACATGAGGCTAATGAACATTTGAAATGTGGCAAGTACAACTCAGGAACTGGATTTTTGGTTTAAATTTAAATAGCCACCTCTGCCTACTGGCTACATCGGGCAGTGCAGTTCCAGAGCCTCGAACAGTGCCTGATACATAAAAGCGTCGAGAATGAATAAGTAAATGAATGTGTTCTGCAGAAGGGATAGCATAAACAGTTGCAGAGTGGCAGGAAACCCCAAAAGGTATTTGGGGATCAGCAGAGTCAGTGCACGGATATGTGCAGGAAATGGCAAGAGGTAAAACTGCAGAGGTGAGTGAAGTCAGACTAGAACTTGGGAGCCATGCTCTCCTGTGGACAACAGGGTGGCACGGAGGATTACTACCTACCCGGTGAATGCTGCATTAGCACAGCTGTGGTTTGGGAATACTAATCTAGAGGCTGGGAGGAAGTGGAATTAGAGAGTTTGAGAGGGTCATACTGTCTCTGGACTGGTGTGCTGGTGGCATGACCATGAAGGCAGGGGTGAGGCAGGGAGGAGCCAATTTTCAAGAGAGGTGTTAGAAGCTTCAGGATTTTGGGGTAAAAGAAGAATCCTAAAACCCCAGGGATTGAGATTAGGATGACCCCCTTGTGTCCCCAAGAGTGCTTCCCTCATCACCTCATCATTGTCCTGCAGCCAAAACTGAAAGATCATGCTGCTGAGGCCACTTTCATGGGGGATGGGTAAGACTTAAAGCCTTTCGTTAGCATGCCACACACAAGGCTGCTAACATCACAAGCTTGCAGAGAAATAAGTGCACTGTCATGACAGCTCAAGGATGAAGGCCACAACTTAAATGTCTCCAAGGCATTTAAGGCCATAAGAAAAATCTATCAAAAGGGGAAAATGGATTTGAGTTCAAAAGGTATTGATTTCAAAGTTTCCTTTTACTGACAGTCCTTGTAAGCATGGATTCACTGGGCTTATCCCCGGCTCATGGTGACTGATACGTCAGCACCATTGGGGAATTCATCTTGACAGCCAAATGAATCAAGGTGACATAAGAAATAAGTGCCGTGGTGGGAGTGACAACATTTTAAGTACTTGGCGTCAGGAAAACTAGAAACTTGTCACCAAGCATTTAGCATCACCTCTCTTGTTGGCCTTATCTTCTGGACCCTCAAACAATGAAGCTGTCTGTGTGGCAGCCACTGTAATGGGGACTTGTGGGGCCAAGGGGAGGAGAATAGCACTAGAGTGGCAGGATGGTGAGACTCCGGAGGCTGTCAATAAACCACCAAGCAAAGAGGCAGAGCTTTGAGGTGGTCAGTAGCTAGGAGGTCGTTTCTGAGCAGAGAAATGAAAGAATAAAAGTAAGTGCTCTACAAAATGAAACAATAGAATGCAAACAAAATGACAAATTTAAGTCAGTTCATGATCATATGAAACTGGCTGCCAGACATTTTGGCAAAGTTCTCCAAAGGTGTTGGGTTTCAGAAGCTTCTTGGAGATGATCCTCTTTCTTGGAAACAACCAGGACGTCCCAAACTCAGGGGACCCATGCTCAGGGAAAATATTTTCAGTGACAGGAAGAGAGTGGGGCTGCCTAAAGAGCCTCCATAGTGAATCTGCCTGATAATATTTAGCAAAATATTAACTGTGGGTTAACTTGCACAGGTGGGTAGGTATTAGTATACTTATGCTTCTGTCTCTGAAAACAACAGTTCTTAACTCTTTTGGGGGTCACAGATACCTCTAAGAAGCTGATAAAAGCCAAGGACCCTGCTTCCAGAGTACAGATTTGGCATCTAACCCCAGGGTGTTCAGAGACTCTCATTTGTAGGCTACAGATGGAGAGTTCTGCTATTGGATGTTTCCTTCAGGCTCTGAACCACAGGAGCCAAGAAGACTCAGAGCCTGGCCACTGTGGGGGTGGAGCAGAATGACCTCTGACAGCACTGTTACCACTCATGCCAACACAGCACATGCCAGAAAGGGCGGATCACAGGCTTGGGACTCATCTGTATTCTTTTGGCTCATCACAAACTGGCTGTTAACCTTATATAAACCTTTTTATCCTTCCATGCTTCTTCCTTCCCACCTGTCATACAGGTAAGGCACTGCTTCATCTTGTCCGTCTTCTGGCTAAGCGCTTTAAAAAGATCATTTTTCTGAGGAAGTTGAAAGCCTAAGAAGTGTGCTAGGAAAACAGCCCCGCTAGGCCTAAATGATCGGTATCCCCCATGTTGTGGGACTGCCCTCAGAGAAGTGGTCTGGAGCCTTGCCACAGATATTACAGTCGGTTCTGTGGCAGATGCAAGCCAAGCTTGATACTCAGTGGAGCCCCCTGAACGGCTTCATAGTGCTCTTGGGAATGAGCACTTGGGAGAGTTGAGGTGCCCAGCCTTCTAGGCAGGGAACAGTGATGTCCTGGATTGGGTTGCTCAGAAATAGGTCCCTCGATAAGAAGTGGTTTCAGAACCTTCTAGAAGGAGCTTTCCTTAAAGAAGTTTTCCTTCTATAGAGACACTGGATGATAAGTCTCTAGTTGAAAGCTAATTATACTGTGGCTTAGAGGTCATAATTTAACCTCTTGAAATAAACGGACCAGCTCCCAACCTATGTGGCTACCTACCAGGAAGGACAGCTTAGCCTCGTCAGTGCTCTCAATGCCTTTTGTGTCAAATTTGCCTTGCTGGAGGCTGCTGTGCATGATGTTCACGGCACTCGTCACCCCGCGCTGGATGTCCTGTAAGGTGGTGGCCGGGAATCCCATCCGCAGCTTGTTACACAGAACATCCCTGGGAGGGGGGAGCAGAATGGTATATGGAGATTGACAGCACTCAATCTGGCTTCCAGGACAGCAGGACCAGAGGACCCACAACCCTAACAAAGCAGCATGAGCTGCTCTTTTGGGGGAATAACCAATCCTTGAGACCACTGTAGGAGAACTTGAGTATCCAGGGTATGAGAGAGACCAACACCCTTTCAAGGGCACTTGATATGACAAGAACATATAGAGGAGATTGGTCAGTTCTTTATTCCCTATGAGGATTTCAGTTATCGCCACTGAACTCCAACAAACTCAAGAGGAGGCATACAGCTTAATGAAAGGCAGTACCATGTAAGTGGTGAGAGAACAGGTTTTGGGAGTGAGTTCTGGGCTCTATTCCACATTCCACCACTTATGAGGTGTATGATCTCCCTGAGCCCTAGTTTCCTCACCTGTAAGAGAGCTAAGGGTTCCTACATCATAGGGTTGTTATCAGGACTGAATGAGAGCAGGAAATTAGTATAGTGCCTGGTCTGCAGCAATGGTAAGTATGATCGCTATATTACAACTACTGCCTTCAACTGAGCTGCCTGTTCTCTTTCGTAGGCCTGAGGGCCAGTAACCCCTCCAATCCAGTCCAGGGAGCATAAGATACCTGGCTGCTGTACAGCTGCCTGGACCCAAGGATGTTGTTCCATGGCTAGGAGCTTATATCCTATATAGCACTGAACTAGAATCATATGGAAAAAAAGGAAGCAACATGGGCCTCAGGAATCAATCACAACTAGGACCTTTTTGCTTCCTAGGAAGTAGAAAGGGAGTCAATCCTACCTGAAGTCAGACTCCAGCTCTGTGGTAGCAAGGTTGATCATGGCACAGAGACAGTCGATGCTGGAGCTAGACAGAGCCCGCCCAATGCACTTCTTAACAATGTAGAAGACATCATCCACCATGCTGGACGTCAACTGGCCTTTCTCATAGGTGTCCAGAGCCACAGCCTAACCAAAAGGCAAAGCAGCCAGTGAGGGCTCCAGTTCTGCATGCCATTGTTCTAGATGGTTCTAGAATAGGCTCTGGTTCTGCTCCCTTTTGAGCTTGTCCTTGTTTCTCCCAACACAGCTTACTCTGGTCACAGCTTGGTGTGGATCCTCCTTGCCAAAACAGCTCATTCCCCTACTGATGACTATGTTAGGACATTAAGTATTTAGGGCCTTTGCCCTGGGGTCATCTGTTATCTGTGATGTAAGACATCAGGAAAGGCCCTTCTTCCCCGAGGTTCCTCACCCACACACTTCCAGGGAGGCAGGGCACAAGTAGGTTCCCCAAGGAGCTGAGGTGTTCTTTTGTGATTTTTGGGAAAGACATCCTAGCTGGGTGTCTGAAGAGCATGACAACTCTAAAAATGTCCTCTAATCATACAAAGGGGTACTGCTCAGTTGCATGCAAGGGTATTCTCAAAGCAGGCCAAGAAATGTGACATGCCTCGGCCATTTCCTTCAGCCTGGCTTCTTGCACAGGAAGCCCCATTTCCAAGGGGTGTGTCCTCTGTCCTACCTTGTTGACAGTCTCCCTCATGAAGTACTCCTCCATGGTGATATAGAAGCCAATTAGCTCCTGCATGGTGCAGCTTAACAGGCAGTTATTGAGGAGCTTGTCCAGGCACTTCTGGTGCTCTAAGGGACAGCCAGCAAAGGGATACTCACTTTTCTTCCCCAAGGGAAAAAGTTTAACTGTTTTCATTTACGCAGGTTCCTTTCTGTACATAATTTACATGATTATAATCACAGTACAAAATTTTGTATTCTGCTTTAAAAAATTATGTCATATATGCCTTGGGGTACCTGGGTAGCTCAGTAGGTTGAACATCTGACTCTTGATTTTGGCTCAGGTCATGATCTCAGGGTCATGAGATTGAGCCCTACATAGGGCTCTGTGCTTAGCGGAGAGTCGGCTTGAGGATTCTCTCTCCCTCTCCCTCTGCCCCTCCTGCTCGTGCGCTTGCGTGCACACGCTCTCCCTCCCTCCCTCTCTCTTTAAAGCAAATAAATAAATCTTTAAAAAAAGTTTGTATCATATATGCCTGAAACTAATGTAACATTGTATGTCAACTATACTCAAATACAAAATTAAAAAACAGAAAAAGATATCATAAATATTTTCAACGTTTGTACACACAGCTTCTTTTATCTTTTTTTTAAGCTTACTTATTTTTTTATTCTTTTTTTTTTAAACATTTTATTTATTTGAGAGAGAGAGAATGAGAGAGAGAGTGAGCATGAGAGGGGGGAGGGTCAGAGGGAGAAGCAGACTCCCTGCCGAGCAGGGAGCCTGACGCGGGACTTGATCCCGGGACTCCAGGATCATGACCTGAGCCGAAGGCAGTTGCTTAAGCAACTGAGCCACCCAGGTTCCCTAAGCTTACTTATTTTTAATGGCTGTGTGATATTTTATTAGGTAGATAGTCAACATTTTTTTAAACTCTATCTTTAGACACCTGGGTTATTTCTAAATGTTTTGTCCTTATTAGAGATAACTGGAAACCACAGTATTTGGAGATTATGGTAATTTTTTTAAAAGATTTTTATCTTTAAGTAATCTATGTACTCAACATGGGGCTCGAACTCACAATCCTGAGATCAAGAGTTGCACACTCACTGACTGAGCCAGCCAGGCGCCCCATAGTAAATGTTTCTGTACAAAGAACTTTTTGCTTCTTTCCCATTAGAATTAATTAGTAAGCCTTAAAATACTTAAGTTTTCAGGGCAAAGACTGAAATATATCGGGTACACTGTATTTCATTCTCTAAACCAGTGTTGTCCAACAGAATTTTCTGTGATGATTAAAATGTTCTGTATCTTTGTTGTCTAATATGGTAGCCACTATTGAGCCCTTGAAATGTGGCTGTTAACTGAGAAACGGAATTCTTAATTTTAGTTAAATGTAAATTTAGACGGTCCCATGGGGCTGGTAGCTACTGTACTGGACACACAGCTCTGAACAGTGACAGTCATTATGAATAGTAATGCGCATCAAACTCCAAAAAAGCATACATCCTCCCTTAAGCACCAAATCAAAGCAATACCATACTAGGTCATATAAATAATTGCCTTGCCATGTATTATTGACATAAGTCACGTAGAATGCCACAGATGCTGTGTTAATTTCAAGTCTCTAGTTCAGAGAATCCTGCATATACTTAACCAGCAGGAATTAAATGGTCTTCTTAAAAAATCCAGAGAATCAATTTGTAAATGAAACTGGACTGTGGTACACATTTTTTTCCAATGTACTTATCCCTTCAAAACTTGTGACTGGGGGAATTGGGAGACTGAGGGAGGGAGTGAAAGGCTTTCTTTATACTATGTACTCTTTTCATATACTCTTTAAACTATATACTCTTTTCTCAATATTATGGCTCAATACTGTATTGAAGTGTTATTTTTTTTAAAAGATTTTATTTATTTGAGAGAGAGAACGAGAGCAAGTGTGCACAGCTTGATCCCAGGACTCTGGGATCATGACTTGAACCGAAGGCAGACGCTTAACCAACTGAGCCACCCAGGCGCCCCTTAAGTGTTATATACGATAAAATTCACACCTTGTATGTGTACATTTCAATGTTTTTTTTTTAAAGTAACTTTATAGAGTTTTGTAACAATAGCCACAATCCAGTTTTAGAAATTCCTATTACTCCCAAAAGTTCCCTTATGGAATTAAGTATATCTTTTTGCTCTATCTACCTATATATCATGTGTGCAAATCACCTATTTTATTTATTATTATTATTTTTAAAGATTTTATTTTTAAGTAATCTCTACACCCAATGTAGGGCTCAAACTCACAATCCCAACATCAAGAGTCATATGCTCCGCCGACTAAGCCAGCCAGGTGCTCTATATCACCTATTTAAATTAAATGCTAATCCCTAAATCAGAGCTGGTGAGAAAACATGGTGTGCAGAAAAGATCAGAGGAAAATAATTTAACCATTCTGGGCATTAGCTTTCCTCACTTGTAAAATGACTAAATGGCCTCAAAGACCCAGTCCAATTCTAATATTCAGTAAGTCTATCTTTCCTTTTGGGAGTCAGTTTGCCCACAGACCACTGAGGCTAAGAAGCCCTAGTTATTTCCTTGTTACGAGATCTATGGCTTAACCATTAGAAAACAGTGCCAACTCTGTCCTAGCCCTCCCAGAAAATATGGGACATGCCTTTTACCTTGCTTTACTTCTTCTGAGGCCATGGAGTCCCCCACCTCGAAATCAGAGCTGATCCTCTTCCTGAGGAAGCGTAAGTACAGCTCACTGCGGGCATTCATGAGGGTGACCTCAGTCAGGATAGGGTCCAGTTCCCTGAGATACATGGAGCAGAAGGAATAAGCAGGAGGCCACTGGATTGCCAGATATAAGAGCTACAGGGCAAATAGAGTCTCAAACTCCCTCTCCCACGGGGCCCAGAAGGGTCAGCTCTGCCAGATGGTTATCCTGGCTCTGCTGGATACTCAGAGACAGCTGTCAACCATATATTCCACTTACCTGTTTCACCTGAACCATTCACCCGCTAAAATACTGTCAGGGCTAAATAAGAGACTGGGAGTTGTATTTTTGTTAGTGGTTTGAGTAAAAATTGTCTATGCTTCACATGAAAGGAACCACACCTCTCCAACCTCTTATTTAGCTGTGGTGGGATTTTAGGATACACCATTAAACTGAGTCCCACACCCATTCATCTATCCAGATGAAGACCCAAAACAATCTTAAAAAAAATAACAAAGTTGAAGGACTCATATTTCCCAATTTGAAAACTTACTATAAGGCTACAGCAATGAAGACAGTATGGTACTGGCATGAGGACAGGCATATAGATTAGAGTCCAGAAATCTTCACATTATGGTCAACTGATCTCCAACTAGAGTGCTCAGACAATTCAATAAGAATAGTCTTTTCAACAAATTGTGCTGGGATGATGACTGATATCCACATTAAAAAGAATGAAGTTGAACCCCTCCCTCACAGTATACACACAAATTAGCTCATTTTCCACACTGAACTCCAGGAGATCTTTTCAAAACATAGATTTGGTCATACTGTAATCATACGATTTCCATAGCGCTTAGGATATAGGACCTGAGTGGCCTGACTCTAACGACCTCTCTGGATTCAACTCAGGCTCTCCCCAATTCTGTACTTCAACTACACTGCTCTTCTTTCAGTTTTTCAAATACACAGTGACTTTGCACATGTTTTCCCTGCTCCACCTGGAAAACTCTTCACCTCTTATTTCTAGTCACTCTTTTTTTTAAGATTTTATTTATGTATTTGACAGAGACACAGTGAGAGAGGGAACACAAGCAGGGGGAGTGGGAGAGGGAGAAGCAGGCCTCCCGCCGAGCAGTGAGCCCGATGCGGGGCTTGATCCTAGGACCCTGAGATCATGACCTAAGCTGAAGGCAGACGCTTAATGACTGAGCCAGCCAGGTGCCCTCTTTTTTTTTTTTTTTTTTTTTTAAGATTTTGTTAATTTATTTGACAGAGAGAGAGCGAGCAAGTGAGCACAAGCAGGGAGAGGCAGAGGCAGAGGGAGAAGCAGACTCCCCGCTGAGTGGAGAGCCTGATGTGGGGCTCGATCCCAGGACCCTGAAATCATGACCTGAGCTGAAGCCAGGTGCTTAACCGACTGAGCCACCCAGGCGCCCCATTTCTAGTTACTCTTAAGGTCTCAGATCTAAGGTCATTTCCTCAGAGATTTTTCCTTGAACTTATCAGCTTAGGTTACGTCCCTTTATTACATGCTCTCCTGCACACTATACTTAGTATATCACAATGATTCATAATATGAACTCTAGAGTCTGAATACTTGGATTCTATTCCTGGCTCTGCGATCTTCTAGCTGTACAACCTTGGGCCAGTAACTTAACCTCTTCAGGCTTCAGTCTCCTCTTCTGTAAAAAATGTTTATGGATTAAATCAGTGACCCTCAACTGAAGGTGATTTTACACCCCACCCTCCACTCCCTAGACATTTGGCAGTGTCTGGTGACAACATGCTACCAGCATCTAGTGGGTGGAGGCCAAGAATGCTACTACTAAACATCTTACAATCCACAGCACAGTCCTCCCTGACAAAGAATTATCTAGCCAAAACGACAATAGGACAGAGGATGAGAAACCCCTGAATAAATGACTGAATATTTGTTAAGTGTTTAAAACAATGTGTGCCATATAGTAAGCACTATATATTTGTCAGCTATTATTACTATCTACTTTACAGACTACAGATGCCACAAGGAAAGAATTATGTCTGGTTTGCTTACTTTGCTTGCTGCCACATCCCCAGTACCAAAGACCAGTGTTTGACCCATAATGTGTACTAAGAAAAATTTACTGATTGAATGAATACATTTTTATAATGTTTGAATTTTCTTTTAACAAGCATATTTAAAAATTTTTATTATTTATTTATTTTAAATATTTTATTTATGTATTTGACAGAGAGAGACACAGCGAGAGAGGGAACACAAGCAGGGGGAGTGGGAGAGGGAGAAGCAGGCTTCCCGCCGAGCAGGGATCCCAATGTGGGGCTCGATCCCAGGACCCTGGGATCATGACCTGAGCCGAAGGCAGACGCTTAACGACTGAGCCACCCAGGCGCCCCTATTTATTTATTTTTAAGATTTTTATTTATTTACTTGACAGAGGGAGAGAGACAGTGAGCGAGGGAATACAAGCAGGGCGAGCGGGAGAGGGAGAAGTAGGCTTCCCGCCAAGCAGGGAGCCTGATGCGGGGCTCCATCCCAGGACCCTGGGATCATGACCTGAGCCAAAGGCAGACGCTTAATGACTGAGCCACCCAGGCGCCCCTAACAAGCATATTTTTATTAGAAAAAAGTAAAAGCTTGAGTCATAGATAAAATATTTCTAAAACACAGACCACCTTATAATAGAGCAGTCTCTGAATGTTACATGATTACCAATTCAAACTCCTATGGGCTAAAGAAAACAGGATTATTACCTTGGTTCTCTTTTTTCTGTTGTAGAATTTCTCATCAAGCTGTTCTGGACATGCCGGAACTGCAATATACCAAAGAAATAAGAGATGCTCATCCCCACCCTCTTCCCCACCCTCCTTCTATCTTCCTCTTGCTGGTCCCTCCAAACTTCTGGCATAAAAGAATGTTTAAGTTTAGTTTGCTTAACAGGCAAGCCAAAAGTAGGCTATCAGGATGATGAACCAAAGATTTACTTTTGATTTAGATGCTAATGCTCTCCTTTATTATTGCACTTTAAAGTGATGTTAATGGTGTTCCAATGAACTACTATCTAGTCTCCTAGAGTTCTAGAAATAAAGTTGTATGGGCTACTCCTATTTCTAAATCATACTCTTACTTCCTCTGCTCAAAGGAAAGGAGAAATAAAGTTCACAAAAAAGCAAGTGTTACTGTGAGCACTTAAGGAACTAAGGAGAAATCAGAGACAAGAAGTAAAATTCTCCTTATATCACGAGAAGGCACTATTGCATATTCTGTGATAGAGAGGTGCTCTACTGTTTCTGTTTTGTGTTTCTTTCAGGAAGCCCTTTCTACTTCTTTCTCAATCTTGTACTATATCATCAGGACACCTCAAATCCAAAGTTAGCTGGCGACGGGCAAGATGCAGGCAGTTTGCATTTGGTATTTATTTTTCTATCTACCTCTTTTTTCATCCCTTCCCTACCCCACTCCCAATTTATTTTATTTAGTATCCCTGGCTCACACTGTTTCCAAACCCACCTGCAGCTTCTCCTACTCACCTGCTGATGGTAGTCCCTCTGCTTGATGAACTTGTCCACCACCTTCTCCACTTGTCTGTCACATTCTACCTGCAGGTATTTTATCAGGGTATAAAGTCTCCCTGGCCCATAATAGGTCTCCACTATTGGTTGGTGGGTCTCCACAATGCGGGCAATACCTAGAATGGAGAAAATGAGAGGGTTGGATTCCAAATACTCTTCTCACAAAACAAACTTTCTTCTATCCAGGACTGACCTGGGTCTAACTCAACCCTTTAAGGCTATTTCACCTCCCAAAATGAATACAAATGGTTCTTGCCAATGCTGAGAGTCGCTAAGCAAAATCTGTCTGTTTAATATGTACAGTGCTTGGTAAATCAGAAGGCATTTACTTTATGCTGATAGTTTAATAGCAGCATCTTTGGAAATCAGCATCACTCTCTTCCCAATAATTTACTTTAGGGTTAAATTTACTCTTAGCATTTGGGTCTTGAAGGCTAGGGAGGAGCAAAACACTTGAGAGACTCTAATTTTTGCTAATTAGATACTGAATTAGAAAGTTAATTCTCCAATGTATCAATCAATACACAGCAAGCTACAGGATTGAACTGAAAGCATCAGGCTAATAGGGAGAGAAGAAAAGCTAGGATATGGGTGTTAGGTAGAAATGTCTTCAGTCTCTCTGGAGTGGAAAAAGAGACTTACCTTCAAAAAGGAGAGTGAGTGTATCTGCAAAGATGACTGCTGCTCTCCGATCACTCATGTCTGTCCCCAGCACCAACAGCAGATTCTCCTCTGCTTTACTGGCCACCTGAAAAAAGCAGAAAATCCACAGCAGTTCTCAGATCAAAGGCTAGTCTCAGTTTTCCAAAAAGACCTCCCACTGACTTTCTTTTTCCCATGTTTGCTTTGATGCTTGAAAGCTTAGACAGCACAGAGGAACCTCCCTTGGGGGCTCTGAGTTGTCTGGGCCTCAGGCAAGACAAAGAACTTGAGCGTAGTGATAACTCTTCTTCAACGCAAAGACATAAATAATGCTTTCCTTTTCTTTGAAGATATGTATTGTCATTAGCCAAAGGAGAGAGTCCCCACTTCCAATAATCATCTCAAAGGATAACTCAAAGTTATCATTAATGGTGCTTCATTGGGCAGGACAAGGAATCTGGGTACTGCAGAAGGGATTTTTAAGGGATTTAAAGTAGAAGCCATTTCTAGATCCCAGGTGGCAAAGTACTGATAAAAAAAACTGCCAGCCACCCCATCTCCCCCTTTTATTTTATTTTTAATAAATTTTTTAGAGTGGTTAAGACATACACACTTAAATATTCAAAAGGAATAAAAGTGTTCAGTGAAAAGCAATTCTTCCTCTTACCTATGTCTCTCAGTCTCCTAAGTCTCTTCTCCAGAGATAACCGTTGTTAACCCTTTGAAAAATACCCTATGCTTATACAAGCATATATATATATATATATATTTTTTTTAAGATTTTATTTATTTATTTGAGATAGAGAGAGAGAGCATGAGACAGGGGAGGGTCAGAGAGAGAAGCAGACTCCCTGCCGAGCAGGGAGCCCGATGTGGGACTTGATCCTGGGACTCCAGGATCATGACCTGAGCCGAAGGCAGTCGCTTAACCAACTGAGCCACCCAGGCGCCCCACAAACATATATTTTTATTGCCACCTCTGTCATTTGAAGCAGAAATGTTGCATATAGTTGTTTAACTTAACCATACATCAGAGAGTGAAACATGTCAGCACATACGGAACTATCTCATTTTTCTTAATGCAGAACAGTGTGGTCTATTACAGAGAATTTGGAGGGGAAGTGGCACGATACACTCTGACATAGAGTTACAAACAATAACCCTCTGCATACATGCCTGCTGAGATTTGCTTCTTTCCATCTAAGGTCAAGGGGAAGGGGCTGAGACTTTAACTGAAACCTGTTTCTTTTTCAGGATTTAACCCTAAGTGATCTCACCTCCTTCATCTCAATGTGGCTTATGTTGAGACTCAAGCCTGGTTATGAAGTCTTAAAAAGAGTAACCAACAACTTTGAATGCTCTTAAAAGAAGCCAGTTCCTGGCTGACAGCTTAAAAAGGGTGATTCAACTTGTCAGAGAATTTGCATTTCATTTCATTTTATTTTTTTAAAGATTTTATTTATTTGACAGAGAGAGAGAGAGACAGTAAGAGAGGGAACACAAGCAGGGGGCATAGGAGAGGGAGAAGCAGGCCTCCTGCTGAGCAGGGAGCCCGATGCGGGCTCGATCCCAGGACCCTGAGATCATGACCCGAGCCCAAGGCTGTCACTTAACCGACTGAGCCACCCAGGCACTCCGAGAATTTGCATTTTAATTTTCCTATGTTTTCACTTGGTCTGTGATTAATGTACAGAAATTAATGTACATCAGTAGATGTCTAGACCATGCCTAGATAAGTGTTGAATGAATGTGTACATCCAGTCCTGCTAGGCTACAATGAGAGCAGGAAAGGGGAGTTAAATCCAGATGTGACAAAGTATCCACAGAAACTGGATCCATATAGTGCCCCAATCTGCAGGCAGAGAATCATACCACTATCCTACCAAGCAATCAGGGGCCATACCTGCTTGCAAAGGTATTCTGAGAACTTGCTTAATCCCTCCTCATGCAGACCCAGCAGTGGGAAGATCTTGAAGAAGCGCTCCACCTGGGGCAGATCCCCTTCCTTAGTAGCGATGGCAAACTTTTCTGTTACAATGGCTTTGAGACGCTGCTCAGCTTCCTGCAGCAATTTCAGGTTGGCATCAATCATGCTGCCTGCACATTGGGAGGAAAATGGGAATTAATGTAAAGAATGGTACTCTGTCAGGTCTATGCCACTTTGTGCACCATTATTCATTCGAAATATATACAGAAGTTATAGTCAGCAAAAGAAATAAGATCTGTGGCACAAATAACTATAACAAACTAAGTGTATGATAAGTGTAATAAGAAAAGTGTTCACAAGTCACATTTCTAGTTGAACTAATTAGAAAAGTCTTCCCAGAAATGGTATCCCATCTTTTAAAGATGGGCAGGGTTTTGATACCTGAATAGGAGGAACTTACATTCCAAGCAAAGGGAATGAAATGAGCAAAGGAACAGAAATAAAAAGATGAAAAAAAATATTTGTAGAATATTGCAAGTAATATATACTCTGGCATATAGAGGACTCTATATATGTGCACACTGAATGGATGCATGAGTGAATAGCATGAAACAAGGTGAGAAAGACAGGGTGGGTTGAAATCACAGAAGGCCTAGAAAGCCAGGTTAAGAATTTAATTTTGTAAGTAGGTGATATGGTCAAGTGAAAAGAACCCACTGGCCAGAGGACAGTAGATGTGGATTCAGTTTCCTTTTCCATAAAATGGGAATAACAACACCTGTCCTAGGGTGGCCTATGACCTATATAGGGTTGAGTACCAGACAAGGAAATTGCCTAACAGATGCCCTTTTCTTGGTTGAGTTTGCCTTGCTCGGATAACAGATGCTTGTAACTAAACCAGAAATGATAGGTACTTAAATCAGATTACAGACGCTTGTAAAAACCATAGAAATCAACAGTTTGGGATGGATGTCACCTTCTTTGCCCTGTCGACTGAGCTCAATGACTGACTTGTCCAGGCACAAGTAGCGATGAATGTGGGCCGCAGCCTGCTCATAATCTTCATTCCTCAAAGCAGTCTGAACTCCATCCATGCAGAACTTCAGGTCCAAGATATCATCAGCTCTCTGAATGGCTTGATAGAGGCGGTTCTGCAAAAAGACTTGGTGCTTAGAAACAATGTCCTATTCTTTCAGAATATCTCTTCAGAAGGTAGGGAGATTTAGCGGCAGAATCTGGTTAACCAGAGGCTCTGAACCAAAACCACTACCACTCACAAAACTGTTACTGATGATGATTAATAGCACTGACAGGTATCATACAATTTTATTTATGTGACCAGATCATTCATTTTAATGGAAGCAGGAACAAGGACAAGCCATATTTGTATTTGGCTGATGCTGTTAAATTAATAATGGAATCGGAGTGTATCTAACATTTGGAAAGAGGACATTATAAACCAAGTAATAAAATAAGTGAAACATATGGAAAATATTTTTCTTTTAGAATAAGCAAGATTTTTTTTTAAAGTTTTACTTATTTAAGTAATCTCTACATCCAACGTGGAGCTAGAACTCACAACCTTGAGATCAAGAGTCACACGCTCTTCCCACTAAGCCAGTCAGGAGGCCCTAGAATAAGCAAGAATGTTCTAAAGAAATCTTAATAATGTGACTTGGTGGCTGTATGGCCATAGTGTTTTGTGGTAAGTTATTTTTGCAGAATCTCAACAAATAGATTAGGAAGAGTTATGCTATTTCACAGGGGAAAACTGAGGCTGGGACTGACTTATTCAAGAGCCCAGATCTTGTGCTATTCACTACAGTAGTCATTAACAATCTGTGACCATTGAGCACTTGAAATGTGGCTAGTCCAAATTAAGATGTGTAAAACACACACTGGATTTCAAAGACTTAGTACAGAAATAAAGAAGGCAAAATATCTCATTAATACCATTTTAAAGTAATCACATATTTAAATGATATTTTGGATATTAAGGGTTAAATAAAACATTACTAAGATGATTTTCACCTATTTCTGTTTTACTTTTTATTTTATTTTTTAAAGATTTTATTTATTTATTTGAGAAAGAGAATGAGATAGAGAGAGAGATCATGAGGGTCAGAGGGAGAAGCAGACTCCCTGCTGAGCAGGGAGCCCGATGTGGGACTCGATCCCGGGACTCCAGGATCATGACCTGAGCTGAAGGCAGTCGCTTAACCAACTGAGCCACCCAGGCACCCCTTTTTATTTTTTAAAGATTTTGTTTATTTATTTATTTGACAGAGCAAGAGAGCACAAGCAGGGGAAGCAGCAGAGGGAGAGGGAGAAGCAGTATCCCTGCTAAGCAAGGAGCCTGATGTGGGGCTCAAGCCCAGGACCCGAGGATCATGACCTGAACCTAAGGCAGATGCCTAACCAATTGAGCTACCCAGGTGCCTCTCTGTTTTACTTTTTAAAATAATGGCTACTAGTGAGGCACGTGCTGGCTCAGTTGGTAGAGCATGCAACTCCTGATCTCAGGGTCATGAGTTCAAAACCCATGTTGGGTGCAGAGCCTACTTTAAAAAAGAAAGAGAAAGAAAGAAAGAGAAAATAAAATTGAGAAAAATGGCTACTAGAAAAATCTAAAGTTAAATGTATGGTTTATATGCTTTTTCAATTTGGATGATTTTTATTTTATTTTCTTGCCTAAATGTCTGGCTAGAAACTCCAGTACAATGTTGAAGAAAAGAAGCAAGAGCTGACATCCTTGTTTTATTCCTGATCTTAGAGGGAATGCACCCAGTCTTTTACTGGTAAGTATGAAGTTAGCTGTGGGTTTTTTGTAGATGACCTTTATCAGGTTGAGGAAGTTCCCTTTTATTACAAGTTTTTTGAGTTTATGCTTTTTCTGAGTTTATGAGATGATCATGCGGTTTTTGTCCTTTATTCTACTGATATGGTGGATATATTAATTGATTTTCAGATGTTAAAGCAACCCTGCATTCCTGGGATAAATTCCACTTGGTCATAGTATAATCCTTTTTTTAAAAAATTTTTTGACAGAAAGAGACAGTGAGAGAGGGAACAGAAGCGGGGGAGTGGGAGAAGGAGAAGCAGACTTCTTGCTGAGTAGAGAGCCCGATGCGGGGCTTGATCCCAGGACCCTGGGATCATGACCTGAGCCAAAGGCAGACGCTTAACCGACTGAGCCATCCAGGCGCCCCATAGTATAATCCTTTTTATGTGTTGCTAGATTTGGTTTGTGTGTTGTTGAGGATTTTTATGTCTTTATTCATAAGAGGTATTGGTCTGAAGTTTTCTCTTCTTCTGCCATCTCTGTCAGGTTTAATGGTGCTGCTCTAATTTCTAATGTGGTGGCTTCTCTATTGCCCTCTACTAAAACATCAGAAGTTCAATGGGATTACCTTGGCCAAGTCAAGCTGACGGACTTTGCTGGATACATTCTCAGCTAGGTTGCAGGTAAAGGTGATCATTCCAGCTAGCTGCTTTGCATCTCCTTCAATCAACTGCAGGTTGGGACTGGAGACACATGTCAGCACACACACATCCATAGGGGCAGAAGGTAGGAATATGAGATGGAAAATTTTTTTTTGTAAATGGAGACTATGTCTTCTACCGTCTTTGTACTTCCCCACAACTTTTAGCTTAGTTCACTCTACTCACAACTTTTCCTAAAGAGGATTTTACTGAAAACTGAGGTCTATACTAAATAAAAAATTACTTTTTATAACTACTATAGAGACCCCTATATAGGTACTGCTAAAGAACCAGAGAACAGATGCTCCCCACTGCTAAGTATAAAATGCACTAACCAACAATCAAAGAGGGTGACGGGCTCAAAGAGCAATTTTTATGACTAGCAAATACACAGGGTTTGTAAAAACAGTGGTCCTCAAACTTGAACCATAATCAGGATCTCTTGGTGTGTCTGTTAAAAGCTTGTCAGATTTCTGGGCTCCCCCCCCAGAATTTCTGGTTCAGTGGGTTTTGAGTGGGGCCTCATAGTTTGCATTTCCAACAAGTTTCCCAATAAGTTTGATACTTCCAAGGACACTTTGTGAACCACTTGACTATACCCTTAAGTGTTCACTTAACCTTGAAATAATCTTCCTGTACATTTCAAAGTCAAGTGGCATTTTATAACAGAAAGTTAGGAAAAACAGTAATTTATCCAGTGGTCCTTGTCGGAATTACAACAGCTCTTGCTGAGCTGGGAGACTCACCCCATTCGGTGGAGAGTGACCATTTTACTTTCAATGGTGTTTTGCTGTTCCAAAAGAGCATCCAATTCTCTCTCTACCACTTTCTGAAACACAGACAAACATTTTGTCATCAGAATGGTCAGAAGGAACCTTAAGAGTTATCTAACCCAACCACTTAGCTGAAGGGTGAATCCCATTTCAAATGTCTTTCCTTTCACTGAGCTCTCCTAGGACTTTAACCAACAATACTTTATTTTTGCATTTATCACACTGCATGATGACTGTTAGCTTCTGTGTATTTTATTCCATCTAGCAGATGAATAACACAAAGACAGAACTAAACTTTTATTCAGTATAATTAGCACAGTACCTAATGCAGGAAGGCATTTAAAATATAATGGCTAGGGCGCCTGGGTGGCTCAGATGGTTAAGCGTCTGCCTTCGGCTCAGGTCATGATTCCAGGGTCCTGGGATCGAGTCCTGCATCGGGCTCCCTGCTCCGTGGGAAGCCTGCTTCTCCCTCTGCCTCTCTCTCTCTCTCTCTCATGAATAAATAAATAAAATCTTTAAAAAATATATATAATGGCTAAACAAATGAAACTTCCAAAGTGACAGTTACAAAAAGTCTCTTCATAGTGTACAGTCAGTACCCTGAAGGGATAAATACATAATTCTCTCAGTGAAGTTATTTACGGCATTACTGCAACTGACATTAACCTTCTTAAATGCTTGAGTTTCTTCATCTGTAAAATGTAATACATATCCCATAGGACTGTTGCGAGAGCCAAACAAGGTAACAAACATAAAGTGCTTAGCATAGTATGTGAAATATTGTTCATTAATAGCCATCAATATCAACTACACATTTCTATTAAAATAGTTCAGTAGGATCCAGAGGGGAACTTCCCCTTGACAGTCATCAAATACAAATACAGAACTAATATTATTCTGTCTGTAAGATGGACTTAATTTCACCTTAAAAATTGACTGACTCAATGAATGCACGCTTAGGACTGTTAAGAGTACTAAATTTTATAAAGCACATCTTGCTGAAAAATGTTACCATAAACTGCTTGACTTGGTGCAAATTAATATTTGAAAATATTCTTAGATATCAATAATCCCCCCTCTCCTGCTGAAACTGCCTTTTGTACTCAACCTTAATTAAAAGTTTAGTTTAGGGAACAGCTACTTAACTTTTAGATCAGAGCTTGGATCTCTTTCTTCTGAGGGGCAAGGAACCCAAATGATATTTAAAAATATATTGACAGCATCAGGTTGCCACGGAAAATGAAGGAGGCTGCAAAGAATCCTCAAGAGAACAAATATAGTCCATGCCCCTATCTGACACAATGCACGGGTCCAAGAGATGAAAGTTACTAGTCCGATTAGACAGTTGTGCCTGTCTTAAAACCTCAAGCTTCTACAAAGCTGCGGACTTACCAAAACGCTAAAATTACACCCCCAAATCATCCCCCACAAAAGTATTAAAACGCTTCAAGTTTATTTGCAATGACTTCCTGCTTAAATGAGAACACGGTGAACGCGTTTCGTAATTTTTAAATTGCTAATTCAATGCTAGAGCGCCTGGCTTATTTTGATAAGCAAATAAGCAAGCTTATTTGATAAGCAAGCGAGCGCCTTGCTTATTTTGATAAGCAAGCGAGACTGACGCTGTCAGTCTACCTGCTCTAGCCAAGAAACTTAATCTCGATTAAGGGCCAGGGGAATCAAGGGGAGCGAAGCGGATCGCCGAGATAACAGGGAAAACAAGTTTAGGGACACCGGATCAAGCGAACAGAGATGTCACGTCCACCCAAATACACTCAACTACACTCCCTGAATAAGTGCTTTGTTTCCCTCGGCAGAGGCAGAGAGAGAACTTCCCACAGCCCGGAATTCCCAAGACTGACGGCTCCAAGCCCACTGCCCCTGATTCAGCCCCCTCCCACCTCCTCGCCGCACAGCCGTTCGTATACAGCCTCTAGCTCCTGCAGCTCCGTCAGAGAGCGAATGAGCTCGGTAGAGACTTCCGAGCAGCGGCCTCCTCCCATCCCCTCGGGCGGAGGAACCCCTGACAGCTTCTGAGGGGAACCGAAATCCGCCATCTTGGTCCCCATTTCGTGCTTCCGGCCCCGCGAGGCCCCGGCCTCGTTTGCGCGCCAGGTCTTTGCGACTGCCCAAGACAATGCCCGATGGATTTATGGGTAGTTTTTCTGTTGCTGTTAAGTGCCCTTTAAAAGGTCTATTTGTTTTCTGTTCTCTTGGGAAAAGTGACGGCCATAAGGTATGTTTAACTAATGTTCTGTGTGGTGTCGAAGAAAGACAGAAGCATTAAAAAAATTAGATACATATTCTTCAGGCGCCGGTTGGGGACTTTTTATACGTCGCGCGCCCGCCGGAAGGTCCCTGCCTTAAGAGCTAATGGCGGACGCCGGCGGGTTGAAGCGGGCGGCGGCTTAGGCCTTGAAGGAACTCCGCATCTGTCGGATATCTACGCCATCCTTCCTGCTGCAGGGTAAAGAAGCAGCCTCCCAATTTTCCAGGGCCCGGGGAGGCAGAGAGCGGTCATGTAGGAGGGTTGGCCGAGCCTTTGGCCGGGGTCTTTGAGGCAGCCTAGGCCCGTAAGGTCGGGGCAAGGGAGGCGGTGGAGGGGAATGCTTGGGTACGAGAACGGCTGCCAGGAGTCGGCTCCCACTTCCGTCTCCAAGGTGGGAACGAAGCCTGGATCAGAATCAGACTTACAGAAATTGCCCAGCTTTTAGGTCCAGGGGTGGGTGAGACAAGGGGCGGGATGGACGTAAAGGACACACCAACTGTAAGGTGGGAAGACCCAGCGTGTTGAAAGCGTAAATAACGGAAACAGTTTTTGGTGCCAAGACCCTCTCTTTTGAATTCGTGTTTTGGTACTTGGGCAACTGTTTCCTTCACTGATTTTCAGTTTATCGTTTGTAAAGTGGGGGACAGTAGTATCTGTTTTGAAGACTTTGCGAAGTTTGAATGCGATGATGTTCCTTTGGCACGAGGAGAAGGGATTGAGGCAGCAATTTGTAGTGATCACAGACAGGTAGGAGTAGGGGAATCACACAATTTACCAAGTTTTGGCCGTTGGTGGTTCCTGGTATGTAAGTCTTATAGTTTTGGACTGATCTGTAATGGATGCCGTCAGTTATAAAGGTACTGGAAAGTAGACGGACTTCTTCAGGAGTTACAAAGAATGAAGAGTAGGCTGGGGGACTTTTCAGGGCTTCTGACGTGGCCTGTGGTTTCCTTTTTTTTTTTTTAAGATTTTATTTATTTATTTGACAGAGAGAGACACAGCGAGAGAGGGAACACAAGCAGGGGGAGTGGGAGAGGGAGAAGCAGACTCCCTGCCGAGCAGGGAGCCCGAGGCGGGACTCGATCCCAGGACCCCGGGACCATGACCTGAGCCGAAGGCAGTCGCTCAACCAACTGAGCCACTCAGGCGCCCTCCTTTTTTTTTTTTAATAGCGTAGTCAGTCCTGTAACATTGATCATATTGACGTGATAGGGTTTCATTATAAGATTTGTTGTTGATAACTGCAGTTTTGAAATTGTTGGACATTTTATAGCCACAGCAAGATGCAATAGAATAAATTTACTTTTGTTGGAGAATCACATTCACTCTTATTTTTTCTTTCTTTTTTGTTTTAATTGTAGTTGATCACGTCACTACCTTTTTTTTTTTTTTAAGATTTTATTTATTTATTTGACAGAGAGAGAGAGCGCACAGATAGGCAGAGTGGCAGGCAGAGGGAGAAGCAGGCTCTCCACTGAGCAGAGAGCCGGATGTGGGTGGAGCTCCGTCCCAGGGTCCTGGGATCATGACCTGAGCTGAAGGCAAACGCTTAACCGACTGAGCCACTCAGGCGCCCCACATTACTACTTTTCTTTTTTTAATTTTTTTTTAAAGATTTTATTTATTTATTTGAGAGAGAGAGAATGAGAGAGAGAGCACATGAGAGGGGGGAGGGTCAGAGGGAGAAGCAGACTCCCCGCTGAGCAGGGAGCCTGATGTGGGACTCCATCTTGTGACTCCAGGATCATGACCTGAGCCGAAGGCACTCGCTTAACCAACTGAGCCACCCAGGCGCCCCCCACATTACTACTTTTCAATTGAAAGCAATTAGAACATATTCTTTGCTTCTTTTTCCTCAGACTTTAAGCTGAGAACAGCTTTCCCTGGAACTTGCACAATGTATAAGCCCTTCTGGGGATGTGAGTGTATGTCTGTGTCTCTGTCAGTGCATTTTCTCTATTTTTCTTTTTGTAGGTCATTTCCCCACTCCCTTCTTTTTTCACCTCAGAGATTTTCCTTCTTCCCTCCCATCTTAGGATAAAGATGTTCCTTAGTTTCTTTTTTTTTTTTTTTTAAAGATTTTATTTATTTATTTGACAGAGACAGAGATAGCGAGAGCAGGAACACAAGCAGCGGGAGGGGGAGAGGGAGAAGCAGGCCTCCCCCCGAGGAGGGAGCCCGATGTGGGACTCGATCCCAGGACCCTGGGAACATGACCTGAGCCGAAGGCAGACGCTCAACGACTGAGCCACCCAGGCGCCCTGTTCCTTAGTTTCAAGAAGGAAAATTTATATCTCTTGGGACCCGTTTCCAGAGTGGAGGGTTCGATCTTTTCCTCTTTTAACCATTTCTGGCCTGGGCAAAAGCTGGGTAACTATTATTTATGAGGTCATTTACTCATAATTCTCTTTTCTCATTTAACAAAATCACATTTTTGTGTTAATTACACAGTGGTTACTTTGGATTTTTCAAGATTTCTAAATAATTGAAAAAACTTTTCTGGCAGTAATTGTAAAGTTGTAGTTCTGGGTAATTTTATGGTAAAGGAACATCAGTTTGCAGTTTTCAGTCTTATTTAATGAAAAGAATCCTTTATGTGACTATACTTCTTTAGAGAGTCCTCCTGAAATGGTAGGAATTGAGTTTTCATTTTTTATGGTGAGTAGATTTAAATTTTAAATTCTAATTGTTAAATATTGAGCTAGATAAGAGAAACAAATGGAAACTACGCTTAAGTTACCAAGTTTTATCTGTTAGATTAGCAAAGTTCTGGTTGTGGGGAAATAGGGACTCATGCATTTCTGGGGATATAGATGGTAGAGTTTCTTTGAAATGTACTCTGGCAATATGTGTCAAAATTACTAATGTATGAATCCCTCAATCCAACAATTTCATTTCTAAGGATTAATTTTTTTAAAGATTTTATTTATTTGTCAGAGAGAGAGAGCAAGAGCAAGCAAGCAAGCACAGGAAGAGGGAGAAGAAGGCTCCCTGGTGAGCAGGGAGCCCGATGCAGGACTCAATCCCAGGACCCTGGGATCATGACCTGAGTGGAAGGCAGATGCTTAACTGACTGAGCCACCCAGGCATCCTTCTAGGGATTGCTTTTAAAGATATAGTCTTACATGTATAAATGGCCTATGTAGGAGGGGTTTTCTTTTCTCTCTTTTTATTTAAGTTTTTGTTGGGGCACCTGGGTGGCTCAGGTGGTTAAGTGTTTGATTCTTGATGTCAGCTCAGATCTTAATCTCAGGGTCATGAGTTCAAGCCCCATGTTAAAAATTAAAGTTTTTTTTTACTTAAATAATCTCTACATCCCATGTGGGACTTGAACTCAGGACCCCAAGATCAAGAGTTCCACACTCCTCCAACTGAGCCATCCAGGTGCCCCAGTAGGAGGGGTTTTCTTTGCAGCAGTACTCATAAGAGCAAGAGATTGGAAACTTAAATGTTAATCAATAGGGTACTGGCTAAATGAATCCTTATATACCCAATTCAGTGGAATACTCCGTGGCTGGAAAATGAAAATAAATGAGAAAGCCCTTTGTTTATTGCTATCTTCAAGGTAAAGTAATGAAAAGTAAGTTGCAGGATAATGTGAGTGAGTGTATAATATATAGTACCCATTAGTTAAAAAGGGGAGAATATCTAGTATTAACGTATCTTTGCTTGTATGTGCAGCAACTATCTGGAAGGACATAATATAACTTAGTAAAACTGATTCCCCCAGGGAAGAGAACTGGATGGCTAGGGAATGGATGGAAGGAGCTTTTTGCTGTGCTTTTAAAGAATTCTGAACTGTGTATGTGTATAGCCTGTGCAAATACAAGTACGTGTAGAGCTGCTTAGTTTCTGTGACAGTAAAGGCAAACTGTGTTAATGGTACAGACAGATCCCAGTGTTTTTACCACTTGTTATTGATCTCAGGCAGGTGATTTAATTTCTCAACCTCGATTTCTTCATCTATATAATTAGTATAATGAGTTATTTATAGGTTTCTTGAGGGATTAGAGGCAAAGTATACAGCATAGTTCATGGCATATAGAATGCTCTCTAGTTATAAATACGTTGTTCATCAATAAGCCTTACTGTATGGGTTCTGCCTTCAGCCAGAAGTTCCTATACAGAAATGTCTGTAAAGTAAGTTTTCCAGCTGATATTTTTCTGCTTTTATGTGCTCTTAGAGCTTGTTTTGTCTCGTGATAACTGAGGCCTGACTGTGGAGTTGTGAGTATCTCAGTGTTGCTGCCATCATGTTCCTATACAACCTGACATTGCAGCGAGCCACAGGCATCAGCTTTGCCATTCATGGCAACTTTTCTGGTAAGATTTCCAGTTACTATCTTTCCGAGTTTAACATTTTCTAGATTAACTAATTTAATGCCTCAAATTCCTTTATCAGATTCAAACTTTTTCCCTGAAATAATAGAAAAAAATTTTCTAAATCATTAGACAACATCACTTATATAACGCTTTACATTCTCCAAAGCCATTTGAAGTACTTGGTCTTATCTGACCCCGAGAGGACCTTTGGGAAGTAAGGTGGCCCGATAAATGGTGGCCATCAGCAAATGAGAATGGATTGGGGTGGATAGGAGTGGGATATCCGATAGGCGAGGAAGGCGTTTAGGCATTAGATAGTGAAGACCTGTAGTAGGAAAGTGGGGACAGATAGAGAAGAATATGAGCCTGGGCAGTGGAGAAAATGGCAGTAACATTGATAGCAGGTTAGTTGGGACTAGAGAGGGAATTTGGGAAGGAGTTTAGTTATTTTAAACATTCATTTAAAAATTGATGACAACACATCCAAGTGGAATTATATAGCAGGCAGGGAGAGATGGGAGCAAATTGTCTGTTAA